CCCAACTCACCTCATGGCCTGTCTTAAAGTATCTCAATAGTTGAGATTCAAGTTGCTATTATTGCTACTCATGTATTCATTTTAAGTCTACTACTGGAACCTAAACACCTTGAAGGCAGGGGCCTTAAACTGTCCTTGGAATCTCGCACTAGGGATATCTCCTGTCTCAGTGAGAGCTTGAGGAGTGTGCAGTCTGTCAAAACTCTAAAAGCCAAGCCTAGTGGCTGATGAACATCACTGTGAACTGGTCTGGGAAGGAGATGGGTCTATCCAAAGAGATCAGAAAAAATAGTGTAGAGTCCATTGAAAATTTTCACCCTCATATATCTAACTTCATAATGTCTTATGCACATGCTCTGAGCATACATGGATGATCTGAGGCTGAAATATACGTTCTTTTTAGAAAATGCAAATAAACCAATCAAGGCTGTCTATATTTAAAAGCTGAAATAAAGAGTTTATAACCTAGATTTTCTTCCACAAAGTGCAACCTTCTCTACGTATTTACTGTGTAGTGGTAACAGAATAATCACAGGAGTCTGGCAACTGGCAAGAAAACTTTGAGACAATCTTATCCAGTCCTCATTTTTCAAAGAAATAGCCCCAGTGAGGTTGGGTGATTGATTCACTAGACACCCGTGAAATTGGGACAGAGAACCCAAGTTTATTAATTCCCAGAACTGTGACCTCTCCACAATATTATTTATTCTGTGGCTGATAAATTCACCTTCTGCTTTTATATTCAATTCAATAAAAACAGAGCCTGTAAGTGCCAACAGTGACTTGCAATGACACTAGATGGTTAACGGAGAATAAGCATCATAAACAGGATAACAGGATGACCTCCACCCTCACTCAGTGACTCATAATCAAATGGGAAGGACTTCTCACATCCAAGCAACATGTTTTTGGGGTAAAAGTTTATCTTGAGGAATCATAAAAATTTTCTACCATTTCAACCCACTCAATTTGCCGAGTCCTTTCCTCCTGTACTATACTTGGAATATCTAACATTACACAGAATATCTGGTACAGGCAGCTAGATATACCTGCTGAAAAAGCAAAGTGCTCTACAGCCTGCTCCTTGATGTCTCAGAGTAGGAAAACGAAATAATATACTTTGTGCAATTCTCCTTTGTACAAACTCCTGCACATCAGTCTATACGCTGGCATGCAAACGTGTAACTGTTACACCATCCAATTAAGAATGCCACTTAATGACAGGCTCACAGATAGAGGGCAGGCTAACAGTTGTTGGCAGGGGCTGGGGTAGCTGGGTGAGAAGGGGAAGGGAGAGGAGGGATTAAATAAAAAAGAAAAAACTCATGGACACAGACAATAGCATGGTGATTGCCGGAGGTGAAGGGGGGTAGGATAAATGGTGATGGACAGAGACTTGACTTGGGGTGCGAACACACAATACAGTGTACAGATGATGTGTTGTAGAATTGTGCATCTGAAACCTGTATAATTCTGTTAACAGTGTCACCCCAATAAATTCAATAAAAAGGGAAGAAAAAAAGAATGTCACTTAAGTGAATGCACATCAGTATTACTCTAATCAATGTTCCAAGCAAAGGCCATCATAGTAAAACACTGAAGGACACCACCTGATGAATCCCGTGAGCACTGTGAATGAGACATGAGAAAAGAGAAAGCACCAGTTCTCAGTGGTGTGACTTTGAGGACAGAGACTGTCTCTTATTGACTATATTATCATAGTAATAATTTAGGCTACAGCAATGATCAAAATATACTCATAGCTGAGGATTACAATTCTATTAGTAAATTTCCTTAGCAAGTATGTCCTACACCCAATTTTCCCTACTGTTAGCATGTTACATTCTCACAGTACATGAACAGACCTAAGAAAACATTGGTCCATTAACTAAACTCCAGCATGGATCTGGATTTCCCTAGCTTTTTTCACTAATGTTCTTTTTCAGTTGCTGGATTCAATCCAGGAAAACCCATGTTTCCTTGATCTCCTCTGGTCTGTGATGCTCCCTCAGTCATTCTTTAATTTTCATCAATTTAATAGTATTGAGGAATATTTTGCAGAATATCCCTCAGTTTGGGTTTGCCTGGTGTTTTTTCTCATGATTAGACTGGGTAGGCTGGGATTGTGGTTATTTATAACTACAGAGGTGCCCTTTGCATCTTGTCATATGGAGGAGGACATGATATTGACAGAACTTCTCACTGGTGATGTTTCCCATGATCACTTGGTTAAGGTAGTGTCTGTCTTCCTTAACTGTGAAGTTACTATTTACCCCTTCCCATACTCTCTTCTTTAGAAGTCATTTAGTCCAGCCAACACTCAAAGGCAGGGATGCCAGAGGTCAAGAGCTTTGAGAGACAGTTCTGCTTGGGCTGCAGCACACTTGATAGGGAGAAAGTTCACTTGTTTACAGTAAAAAGTTGGAACAGTAGTGATGGGTTAGAAGATGGGAAAACTAAGTTGCTTTCTAGCTATTTACCACACAAGGATTTCAATGTAAGAATGGTACTTCGATCAAAGTATCTTTTTACATTTACCAGACATGGGTAGTAAATTCTCTCCTTAAGAATCGTCCAAAAGAAATAAGAACAAGAAACAAAAATTGTAAACTTCAAATTCTAGAAATTTGAAACGCAAACCCTCAGCACACATGGAAGGGTTGCCAAGTGCAGAGAGAAGAGGTGCAGCAAGATGAGAGGAGATGCCCATCCCTGCAGCTCCCAGGCACATTCAGCAAGAGACGGAAGTCAGACAAAAGACGAAATCAGAAAATTAAATGTACAAAAATTAGGAAAGAGGTAATAAAATTACCATCGTTAGCAGATGTGATTATTTTCAAGTAAAACCCAAGAAATGCATTAACCATATTGTAAGCAATGAGAATTGAGTCATGTAGCTCTAATGGTTAATTTTATATATCAGCTTGGCTGGTCAAGCGATGCCCAGATAGCTGGTTAGACATTATTTCTGGGTGTGTCTGTGGGGGTGTTCCAGGAAGACATTAGCATTTGGACTGGTGAACTCAGTAAAAGCAGATGGCCCTCCCCAGGCCTGAATAGAACAAAAACATGGAGGAAAGCTAAATTCCCTCTGTACCTGACTGTAGGAGAGCTGGGACATCAATCTTCTGCCTCAGTCTTGGTTCTCAGACCTGCAAAACCAGACTGAAATCTATTCTGTGGGCTCTTACCCTCAGGCCTTTCGATTACACCACTAGCTTTCCGGGGTCTCTAGCTTGTAAACAGCAGATTGTAGACCTTTTCAGCCATCATAATCATGTGAGTCAATACTCTGTAACAAAGATGTGTGTTTCTGTTTCTCTGGGAACCCTGATTAATGGAGTGACTAAGTACAGAATCAGCTTAAAGGAATATACATAATATTATAATGAAAAAAAAAACACCATTTACAGAATGCCAAACCAAAAAATAAATCACCTTATAATGTAACTAAAAAGAAATACTATATTGATAGTAACATCAACAACACATTAGCCATTGATTTAACACACAATCAATACCTACTACAAAAACAACTTCAAGAAGGTAGAAAAACTAATTCCAATGCTTATATAGAAAAATAAACCCAGAAAAATGAAAAGTTATAGGGATGGGAAATTGATCAGTGGAAGCCAGGAACTGGGTGGTGAGAGAGTTGACTACAAGGAGGGAATTCTAGAGCAGTGGTTGGATATACAAGTCCAAGTATTTGTCAAAACCCATAGAAATGTACAGCATAAGGAATGAGTATTACTGTATATAAATCAGTAAGTCAACCAGAAAAAGAAAATAACCCACAAGAATAACCAAAAAAATTGACAAAAAGGGGAAGCTAGCTCTACCGTATCTGGTAGTTACAGTAATCTAAACAGTGTGGCATTGGCAGTTGAGCACACAGATCCATGAAACCAGCTACGAAGTCCAGAAATGGACCCAACTATATTAGGAAATTTAGTACATAACATTAGAAATCTAGAGAAAAAAGATGTTGTTTTAAATACATAGTATTGGGTTATTGGGTAGCATTCTAGAAGGGGGGAAGAAAGTACTCTACCATCTGTCAAAATAAACTCCATATGAATTCCAGTTGAATAAAGGATATAAACCTAAAACATAAAACTTTTAAAATAGAAAAAATGGGAGAATTCTTTTATAATTATGCATTGAGGAAGACATTTGTTAGCATACTGACACAAAATGTGGTAGTCATAAAAGATAAACTGTACAAAAATAAAAAATTTCTCCAAGTATCATTTGCTTTAAAAATGTATATACCATATAGACTTACTTGGAAAGATGTGTGTAATACCGGCAACAGTGACTGCCTCTGGGAAATGACAGTAGAGAGACTGACACCAGAACTTTGATTATGCATAATTACCTATTTCAAAAATATTGTTTGCTCCTAGTCATCAACATAACTGAAAGCTCACAATAAAAAAAAAAGTTGCTCATAAGGAACATACAATATGCTACTTAGAAATAACATAGTGCCCAATACAGTACTCAATACATAAGAGGTACTTAAATTATGTAGGTAGCTATTATTTGTCACTGTCTTCCTACAATACTAATTATTTTGAAATATATCATTACTATTTTCAAAGTCGGGAATTCCATATATGGTATTCGTGCACACTGTAATATTCCATTTTTCCAAGAATAATTTCAATAGTCAACAGGTAATTAATTGGAATCTTTAAATCACTGCCATTTAGGTCCTTCGATGCCTGATCACATTCCCTTTTACTTAACACTCCTGGCCAGCTGTGCTGGTTTTCAATTCCTGAGCATGCCCTTGCTTTCTTCCATACTTTTGAAAATACTGTTTCTTCTGTTCAGAGAACTGTACCCCATCTCTGCCTACCAAAATCATTCTTCCTAAAAGGGCCAGTGCAAATCCCACCTATCCACGAAGCTCTATACAAACTTGGTGGGTAGGTATTCTATGTACACAGACAGAAAGGAAACAAAAGATATAAAAAGATATAAAGGCAGAATGATCCATTTAAAAAGTCATTTATTAAACAAGTTAAATACAAATAAAAGTATATTGAAACGTCTAACTATTGGATCCCTTTGAAATATCTATTCTGGGAAGAAGTATCTTCCAAACTTCTTAAGGGAAAGGATAAAAATACAACCCATATTAAAAATTTTTAAACAATAAAGTACATGGTAAATTCAGAAATAAAAACAAAAACATACAAACTACTGAAGTATAAAACCAAAATGTTCATGTCTTTTAAATGCCTGTGTATACTCACATGAAGGCCAAATTGTCTATGTTGAAGTTAGTAAACAGTCTATTGATACCATTTTAACGTATCATAGCTTGTGTCACAGAGAAGTAACTTTAGAATGTGTTGGGTGTGTAAATTGTTCACATTTAGCAAATATATTCTAAGTATGGACATATTCACTTATACTTAATGAAAAAATAACATAATTTAAACATCTTGATTTAAGAACTGGATCTGATGGTTCTGTTAAATTCCACCATCATAATTGCCAAATGCATTATCAAAAGAGTTTTTAAATTTTTTTTCTTTCTTTCTTTCTTTTTTTTTTTTTTTTGTAAAGCTGCTTCCAAAAATTTCAGGACTTTTGGGCAAAAGAAAATACCATGTAGTCTTGTTTATAAATTCTGATGCTTAGGCTCTACGGTTAACACACACACACACACAAAAAAAACATGCAATAGAGAGACTCCTATAGAAAAGCTTCTGTTTTCTTCAGTAGTTCCAAACGGTGTTATGTAATCTGTCACTGGAAACAGTGGTTCCACCACAGGCTTGGCAGTAGCTTCTGTTTAAAACTTTGCTCGATAACATCCATCAAAGGCTTTCAAACATGCTTTGTGGCAGCACGCATGGAGTCCGTGGTGTGAATGGGGACTGCCAGTGGATACGAGGGCCTGTATGAAAAAGCGTTTGCTCTGTGTGTGGGGTGCGTGTGTGTGTGCACGCTTTAAGGAGGTAATGGGATGAAATGGTTTATTCAGAACATAAACACATTTTCCTTATCACATCCCAACTGTGTAAATAATAGAAATCAAATATTTAGAATTTAAATGAATTCTGAATTTCTCTGAGAGGCAATTTTTTTCCTTTTATCGTTCTTTACAGAGGCCAGAGCTTCAGTTATACCTCTTGCGGACAGAGGCAAAGGTCTCAGTCGGAGAGAGAAGGAGAGCGAATAGACCTGCCGCTGGCGGGGCTGGAGAAGGTGAAAGGCTCCTTGTCCTTCTCTTTGCTCTCATGCTTGTGCTTGTGCTTATGCTTATGTTTGTGCTTCTTCTTCTTCTTCTTGTGCTCATGGTGGTGGTGGTGATGGTGGTCACTGTGTTTGGAGGACGTCGATTCCTTAGAAAACACCGAGAGTGGGGCTGTTGCAACCGGATGCATACTCATCTCCAAAGGTGACTGCTCTTTACCTTCAAGATTAAAAACACCCAAATGAATTCCTGTTGATAACAAGGAAAGTGAAACGAAAGTAAGAGGGAGTATAGAAGAGAGGGATTCCTAAGTGTTTATTACTTTCATGGGAATAATTAGGAACAGAAGTATCCAAATAAGTACACACAAACAAGTTTTCAGCATCGTGGCCAGGAAGTTGAATATTTCAACTCCTGTAGTCTATACAAATTATGACATATACCAATGTGTTATCAAACAATCTTCTAAAAATTAATATTTACTATTTTAAAGTACTATGAAGAGACAATAATGATTACACTGTTATAGGTTAAGACCCACACTGGTCAATGAAAACATAGCTCCTTTAACTACAGCTGTGCCCTAAGCTATTGGGGGTGGGGGAGGGTAGCGCTGTGTCTATGACATCGGGAGAACCACTTATATACACCTACCACATTATACTAAGTTACTGACAGCAACATCCCCCAAGACCCCAAATTTCTACAGTTCAGTAAGTTAATTTCTAGGAATGAATAGGCAAAGTGAACTCTTTAAGTATATTCAGCATCCTTAGCTTAAGAAACCCAGAAAAGGTAGGGAGTGTATAAAGAGGATGTGTCTACTTGAAGGTAAGAGTCTTGTAATTAAAAACAAAACACAACCTGAGAATCAGGAGACCTGTGCTCCAGAGCAGGCTCTGCTGTTAACCTTCAGCATGTGTTTATCCTTCTCTATCTCACCTAAAAAATGGATCAAATGTCTTTAAAACTTCTTTCCATTTCTACATTCTATCAGTCTAGGAATCAACAGTAGTTTTCAGACTCCAGTGTCCAAAAATTGCTTCCTCCAGGCCCAATACTCCTTGGGCCAAGCCCTAAGGAAAAATTCTTTCTGTGTTATTCTAGGTTAATGTTACTGCTTACATGCAGCCAACTAAGAAAAAAGCCTAAGAATCATCTCAGATCCCCTCCCTTTGAGATCTAGTTGGTTGCCAAGTCTTGTTGATTCTCACAGTGTCTCTTAAATCTGCCCCCTAACCTTGTCTGCAAGTGTATTAATTCCGACCACCTCACCTCACCTCACCTCACCTCACCTGGATTACACAGTACTAGTCTAGCCTCCTATTACCTAGTTTCGTGGCCTTCGTGGCCTACAGTGTCTTATACTCAGATCCATACTTGACAAAGCTGCACAGCCATGGTTCTCAACCTGGGGCACTGTTGCCCCAAGGGGTTATTTGGCAATGACTGGACACATTTTGGTTGTTACCATTGGGATGGGTTTGGGGGAGGAAGTGTGACTGGCATCCTGTGGGTAGAGGCTAAGGATCCTGTCAAACAGCATATAATACACAGGACAGCCCCTACAACAAAGAAATCTCACGGCCCAAATGCCAATGGTGATCAGGTTGGGAGAACCCGCTACATAGAGATCTTCCTAAAAACAAAGCTGATCATAATTATCTGCTGAAAAGCTCAGTTCTAGCGACAGAATAAAAGGCAAAGTCCTTGAACTCCAGTGAAACAGTTTCTGAAAATATATTTTTTTATCCAAACTAAAAAACTAGGCTTTTCACTAAAATGGACTGAAATGCAGTCATTTCTTTTCTTTTTTAAAAGATAAGTTCTCAGCACTAATTCTGATTTCAGTCCCAATCCATTGTTTTTTTTTTAAAAAAAATAGGCATCACCACAGACATTTTCTAAAATCACTTTCAGCACTAATTTTGCTTACAGTTTATAATGTGTCCTGAACTTCCCTTTCCAGCCTTATCGGCCGCTTTTCCTTTCTGCACAACTCCGTGTATTTGTAAATGTTCCTCCCTGGGCTTCGAATGCCTTTCCCTTATTTCTTGTCTAACTTGCACATTCATTTAACCAATATCAGGAATGAACCTGACAGACCAAGTCTTCTTGGAGCTGACAAATAGCAAAGAAGAAACGGAATAACCACACCTGAGTAGTAAAAAGACCAAACATAGAGCAGGAGCAGAACAAGGGGCTTAAATTAGTTGGGGGTGGAAGTTGGAGGAAATCAGAGGCAAAATTCTCCACCGAGTAACGTTTAAGCTAACATACAGGAAGGGAAATGGAAAGAGAAAACATTTTAGGTTCTTTGATACTTGAAAATTCAGCTCAAATGTTATTGCTTTGGAAGCTTTCCCCCAAATGCCCCCCATCCTAATTAGTTCTTTTATATTCCCACAACATAACACAGATGAGAAGCTTAAGGCACAGAGAAATTAAATAATTTGCCCAAGGTTGTACTGGCAGATCTGAGCTACAAAACCAGAGCCTGACACTAGAGTCCGTGCTCTTAACCATTCTGCATGTTGCATAGCGCACATGTAGCACATCCTTTATCTTTGGTCTCTTTCGTTGGACTCATCACTTCTTGAGGACAGAGAGCCTGTCTTTTTAATTTTTGTATCCCAGTGTGTCCACAGTGTCTAGCAGCCACCTCCCCACCCCTGCTGAAGTTTACTAAACAAATGAATATAACAGAATTATATAACTGTTGTGTTTCTTTTTAAATAAAATGTCAGATGAACTTAGTCCGACTAAATGCAACTGAAGGTAACTAAATTTGAAGGCAGAGGGATAAAGCACAGAAACTGTGATAGATCCTCCAATTGGTGTTGACTACTGTACTTCCTTTGTGTCTGGCACTGTTCCAATTTTTAGAGCAAGTGAACAAGTCAGATAAAGTTCCTGATACCACAATATGACATTTTTTTATATTCATAGGTTTTTAGTAAAGCTAACACTAATTATATTGCAAAGCTAAATAAAGAGATTACTTAAATATAGAAGCAAGTTTGGGGATCTGTATCCTTTGTAATAATTGATATCCAGATATTCTTCAGAAAAAAAAAATTTGAGAGATATCTGATTCACAGTATCAGCGAAATAAGCCACTATATCAGTGATTTTCATCCGGTATGCTGCAGCATACTTGGTGTGCCACAAGAATTTTAAAAACATGCAATACCTGACTATTTATTTAGTCAGGGGCATGTTTTCCCTTACATTGTCAAATAAAAAAATGACAACAGCCAACACAACAATAGCCATCCAGTGTGAATGAATCAAAATTATACCTGTTTTTTTCAGATCAGCAAAAAATAGAATATAATTTTTGGTGTGCTACAGAATTTTAGTTATTAGTTTATGTATGCCATGAGATGAAAAAGGTTGAAAATCGCTGCACTTTATGATTTTAATTTAGACTTTAAATGAATTATACGAATATGGTCACAATTCTATCAATGCAGTATAAGTAAGTAGTTGCATATCAAACAGAATACACAGTCAGGTGATGAGGAGTATAATAAGAAACATGAAAACCTCATGAGCAAATTCCTTTAGCACCTATCTCATTATTTAGTCAGTCTCTATTAACAGACTTTGCAGCTTTCCAATTGGCTGTCTGCAATACTGGGAGTCTGTGGTCTTTTCTGCACTGAGGGAAGTCTCATCATGTAATCCTAAACACTTGCCAAGTTACTTGGGTTGCAGAAAAACTAATAGTTATATTGGAAAATGCACTTCCCAGCAGAGGCAACTGCCAAATAGACAACTGAGTGTATGTGAGTGTACTCTTTTCCAAGGAAAACTTATCACCACTTCAAAAGTACAGATTTCTTGTCTAAGGGCCTTATACTTTGCATTAAAAATATAATGATTAATTATAAATCTTAAATTTCTCTTAATTTGTATTAAGTCTTATTATGAAGACAATGGAGTAGCTAGATCCAAGGATAAAGGTGTTGCGAACCAGGGCTCCTAAGTACAAATGGCTGATTGCAGGTCTGGGTAGATAATTCACAAGATGAATATGAAACACCTAGTACAACAGCAAGGAAGTTAGAGCCTTCTCAATGGACTCAACTTAAGAGGTTCTCACCGTCCAAAGATGGGGCAATCTGAGTACTGATAATGGACTGGAACTGACTGATCCCCACACTGAAGGGTGCTAGATAGCCAATTCACTGTTTTGAAAATTAAGTAAATAAATAGAGAGAATCAAGCATTTATCTTATTCCTATATGACCTACACTACTGGGAAATAAGAGATGAGGGGGAATTCAGCTTTATAAGAATAATCCAGTTTCTAAGTAACAATGGAAAGATAAATTAGAACATCACCATCTACAACCCTCAGAGTTAATGAATCTAAGCCTTGAACCTCATAAAAAAAGTCAGACAGAGACTGCATGCTTACAGATTGAAGAACATACCACCACCTATAAATTTGAATCCAGTCAAACTTCTAGATACAAATATAAATGTACAGGAAACACAGAGGACTCTAACATGTTAATTACACCAGAGGTATATACAATGAGCAAAATACAGACTTAAAAATACAGATTAAAAACCTGGTTTCTGGTCGACTGAAAATTTTAAATTTAAAAAGATGTAAAGGGCAATTCAGCCAATTGCAATGTGCAGACCTTATGTGAATGCAGTTTCAAACAAAGTAATTGTTAAAAATAAAATAATGGCAGCTATGAACCAATTAAAATTTAAACAGTGACTAATTAATAATACAAAAACTCAATTTTTTAAAGTATAAGACTATTACTGTGACTACGGCTTTTTAAAATCCTTATCTTTTAGAGATACATACTAAATTATTTAAAATATGTGGGATTTGTTTCAAAATAACTCAGAAGGGTGGAAATGGGTAAGGGTATGGATTAAATAAGACTGACCATGAGCTGATCACTGTTGAAGCTGAGTAATGAATTCCTGGGGGTTCACTATATTCATCTGACTACTTCAGTTTTCCATACAAAGCGTTTTTTAAAAAGGAGAAGTTAAGGCAATTTGGCTTTATCCAAGAAAACATTACTCTTTGATTGAAATAGTTCATTTCCAGAAATTTATCCCACAAATGTACAAAGACATATTCTAATATTTATCAGACTAGTATTTGTAACAACAGCACATCTGATAAAACTAATGTTACTCTTATCACTACCATTAACATTTACACTTTTATTTAACCTTTAGCTCTTAAGTTTCATTTATTATAGACAATATATTTTTTGTTTACTTAATCTCTATCTTTCCTGACTAATTTTTACCAGGTCTAATCCAACATGGTAAGAAAATGCAATTTCCTTCCTATGTGGAATTGTATATATAACAGTCAGATTTGGGACACATATGAGATTACTTTCACACTAGTATAAGAAGGTCATCTATAGAATTCCCACTGAGAAAAATGCATACAGTACCACTCCTACCACACACATTTTCACACATTATTTCAGGCATTTATAAAATGGCTGGGAACTTGAAGCCCACCCAAAGCTGAGCACCACTCATTTTTAAGTTAATGAATGCTTTTAGTGACCTGAAATATATGTCTCTATTGTAAAATAGCAGATGTATCAGATATATCAGAAAAAGGAGATATCTATATCTATCTATCTATAAAATTTACATTATGGTTTTCTACTTCATGTTATACAGAAAGAACCAAACAGATGTTCAGTTTTGTTATTCTACCCAACATAACCTCTTTCTTAGAGACCAAATAAAATGCATTATGGGTAAGAGTTGGCTGCAGTCAATTTAACAAATGCAAAACAAACAGAAAGAGGTAGAAATGCAAAACAAACAGAAAACCTAATGTGGAAGCTTTTCAGCCCATCACAAAAGTGCTGGTAACAGACAGTGAATAACCTGCTAATTCTATTCAATTCATTCACATTAGATATATGTTTATATTTAACACAAAACCTGCAGTTTCTATTAGGAGAATTGTAAAGTCTGTTCTTTGGTTTCTTTAGATCACTGTAAAAAAATACAGAATTATGTCATTATAATTTAAGAAAAAGACCAAAGTCTGTTTTTCATATTAGAGTTTCAAAAGCAAGAACTGTAGGGCTCTCAGCTTTTTGATTTTTTTGTTTCAAAGGGTTTCATGCATCAGAATAGTGCTTTGCTAACTTATGCCAGAAGGAATCACATAATACAGCAGCCCTAACTAGGAACTCTCTTCTTCTTCCCCACAGAAACCACTAGGGTTTCCCTTGGCTCCTGCTCCTGTCCCTCCTCTCTGCTTCCATCACAGCAATGCCTGCCCGCAGACCAGGCTGCAGTGATGGGAGAGAGGGCCTGGTATGCATAACCAGTCACCATGGGAACCATAAACCTATTTTTACAAATCCCATTCCTGACCTTAGGAGAGAGGGAACAGTAAAAGTAAGGAAGGTATTGAAAATACCCCTGCTGCTTCTCCTTACCCCAAATGGCTTAACCTCCCACATATGTATCACCCCACCCCTAAAATATTCTTCTCACTATCATATGCAAGGAAAGAAAATTGGGGAAAAGGTTAAACCATGACCTTTCCTCTAAACCAGCAGTTCTCAACCTGTGCGTCGCGACCCCTTTGGCAACCCTTTCACAGGGGTTGCCTAAGACCATACTGCATATCAGATATTTACATTACAATTCATAACAGTAGCAACATTACAGTTATGAAGTAGCAACAAAAATAATTTTATGATTGGGTCACAACATGAGGAACTGTATTTAAAGGGCCAGAAGGTTGAGAACCACTGCTCTAAACAGTTTCCAGTTCTTCTTTATCTGACCTAAACCCCCATTCTCTTTCCCTCCTCTCACTTAACATCTGCAACACATTGCAGTTCTCAATTACCATCTGGCTGGCTCTGAAGGACCTAAACAGGGGTCCCAAACTTAAAAGCCTTGGCCCTGAGGAGACAGCATAAATGAGCACAGACTTCCAGGTGCAAACAAATGGAATCGGTGTAATAGCACATCCCTGCCTGAAAGGGCCTCTCAGTTCTTCAAGAGAAGCTGGAAACCCAGATGTTTATGTACAATCTCTTCATTTTCAGTCAACTACAAAAAACCTTATAAGACTTCTGGAGATCAAATAAAAGTTGCCTCAGTTGAGTGAACTGAGTAAGGCCCCCAAACCCTTTTGTGAACCTGAGGATCCCTATAGACTTTAAGAACACAGCTTCCCTTACCACTGTGTTCTATGCCTCCTTTTCTGAACCCCCACTCTCAATCCCAGCCCAAGTTCAGAAAAGGAGACCCCTGGCTCCGGCGGCGGGGGGGGGGGGGGCAGAGGCAAGAAGAGGGAAGTTCCTGTTTCACTGCCAGCTTTACTAGGTTAGGTTAAAGTTGTGCTTCTGACATTCCAAAAGATGGAGCTGAAAGTGCCCCTTCTCTCAGAAACATTGTTACACACAGTGCTTAGGTTCCATACTTCTGTTCTTCAGGTATAAGTTAAAAGGGTTTTTGTTGGGTAGTTTGGGAAAGTTATGTATCAAATATAATAATGTATCTATAAGAAAACTGTATTTAGATCCCCAAATAAATACATGTAGAAATAAACCTTTGGAACACTATCATTTGTAAAATGATAAGACTTACTCATTGGTCATAGGGCACTGAACAGCATAAATGTTTGAAGAAATTACAAAGGCACATTAAAGACTACATTCAAAATTAAGTTTTATCCATCAGTCTATATGTAATATGCTGGTATACATTTTGTCTCATGACACAAAAGGGTGCTACACTGATACCAACCAAAGCTAAAACTTTAAAGCTTCCCTATCCCTACCACTTGCCCTGTATCTCCTCCCCAGTCTTCCCATATGATGCTATGAGAACTACAAGACTGCAAAGAGAGAGTTCCAGAAATATGGCACAATAATACAAAAGCACATTGGTGGGCACAAAAAGGTATTAAGATTTGCTTCTTCAGCCTAGCCGGTGTTGCTCAGTGGTTGTCAACCTATGAACCAGGAGATCAGGGTTCAATTCCCAGTCTAGGCACAAGCCTGGGTTGCAGGCTTGATCCCCAGTAGGGGGTGTGCAGGAGGTAGCCGATAGATATTCCTCTCTCATCGCTGATGTTTCTATTTCTCTTTCCCTCTCTCTTCCTCTCTGAAATCAATTTAAAAAAAAAAAGATTTGTTTCTAAATAGGTTAGTGTGCCACATCACTGAGAAAAAACAAACAAATATATTTAGATTATTTTCTGGAACAGGAATTGATTTGACTGTTAGAATTCAGAACGAATTTAATTTTTTAAAGGCATAAAAGGGCGGCAGAAGCATCACTCTCAAACCATAACAAGAGATTTGAAACTAAGTTTTATAATTTTTAAAAATGCAGAAAATTTTTCATGTCTAGTAAAATTTTAATAAGTATAATGATAATAAAGCAAAATTACATCAAAATAACAACAACAACAAATCCCCTAAAAAACCAAGAGAATACAAAACTAGCAAGGGTCAAAAAATGTCAAAATTCCCTTGTGCTAAAGTCTCCAACTGGTTTTCTTCTGAAATATATTTTATGAACCTACCACAATGAATGCATAAAGCACACAAAGAGATATAAGCACCCAACAGCCAGGGGTCACAATACCAAAATATTTTGAGGTGTTGCTTTTGTTTGAAGTCTCCCCTTAATCACAGTTGGTTTCCTACGCTCCTCAAATCAATAAACAGTAACTCTTTTGTTTATATCATAAAAGCAGGGTTTATATAAGCAAACCCATCCCTTGACATTTTAAAGCCAGATTAATCACTTTTGGAAAAACTATTAATTAAAAGTGATTTTGCTTATGTATCTAGTTTTTCACTCTCTGTTCCTCCAAAACTTGAAGACTGAACTTTTTCAGCAGTTTTGACTGTTTACTCTTATTTGGATTATAATCTTCTCTTTGCAAGAAACAGAAGAACAGGATAAGCAGAAGACAATGTAAAATAGTAGAATAGTTAATAAACATATCTGAACTGAATTACCTTTCATAAACTTAAGCCCAATTAGTATGAAATAATTTAAAAGTCAAAATATGTGAGTTCTCTAGGCATAGCATTAAGGGTTTCATGATTGAAGCAATTGTAAAACTTTCAGGGGCAAGGAGAGAGGAGAAGTAAGTGGTTGATTTGTGTATTTTATGAAAGTACAGAGGCTCAGATTTGATGATTTGTACTGAAGCTGGAATTTTCATATTATAATATTCTTAGAAAAAGCACTAAAAGAGCAAAACGTTAACTTGAAATGACATGAAATTATTTCCCTCCTTCCTTTCTACTTTTCTGATATTTCTGAGTCTTACAAAATAGCAGTACATTCATTTATGTTAGATACTATAAATTCAATGTGTTGCAAGAAAAGCAAGTCCTCAGATCTATATTTTTTATGTATTTTGAAGTTACTAAAGAAATTTTATGTTGTATACCTGAAACAAATGTAATATTTAATGCAAAAAAAGAAAAAAAGACATTTTATGAAATTTATAGATTTGTTCTTAAGCAAAAAAACCCAATAATTTCACCTGTTCCCTTCCGTGCAAGTTCCATCCCCCACTGGGGCTTTGTGAGAGGTGTGCCATCACCCCCTGGTGAATGCTGGGGCATTAAAGCCCGCGAGCTAGCTGGCCGATATTTAGAGAGCCCTAAAATGCCAAAGGAGAAGGAGAAGATGAATTAATTCCTTTGTTTCCCCAAAGAAAGAAAAAAAAAAGCCTGGCAGGTTTTTATAAGCTAGCCTTTAAACCAGAAGCAATTTAACAGAAGACTCTAACAATAAAAATAATACATTTTTTCCCTGCCGGTGTGGCTCAGTGGCTGAGCATTGACCCATGAACCAAGAAGTCAAGATTTGATTCCTGGTCAGGGCACATGCCTAGATTGCAGGCTCGATCCTCAATCTAGAGCGTGCAGGGGGCAGCCAATCAATGATTCTCTCTCATCACTGTGCTTCTATCTCTCTCTCCCTCTCCCTTCCTCTCTGAAATCAATAAAAATATATTAAAAATATTTGTATATTTTTAAGTAAAAATAAATAAATAAATAAATAAATAAATAAATAATAAATAAATAAATAACAAATCTAGAAGTATAAGCATGCCAAATATTAAAAAAAATAAAATGGAAAAAGAAGACTTTTTGTATTTATTCTTTTAATCATGTGTTACATCTGATACAATCTAATATTTCATTTTATACTGGCTACTTTCAAGCTTTACAGTTGTTCACTTGAAGATAAAGCAACACACCCTAGAACAGTGGTACCTTGTGAACTCTCTCGATCGGCTCAGTAACTGCAATACACTAATCTTACCTGGAGTAGACGGCCTTTCAAGCATGTTCAAATGATGAGAAATGAACGCCTGGCTGTCATGAACAGTATCCATATCAATCTCCTCTTCATCTTGAGAACTTGAAAACTAAAACACACACATGGAACAAAAGAGAAAAGGGGCCATTATATCACTTTATGTTTGGATCTTAGCTCTTAGGAAAAGTAGCAGAGAGGCCACAGGATATACCCCCAAATAATCTTAAAAGGAAAAGTAGGCTCTTTTTCTCAAAAAGTATAAGAGAGAGAAAAGATTATGTGGTCCAGCCTCCAAAAGGAGCTGAATGGAAATTTAACAGCAACTAAAATCTATTCCTATGTTATGGGAGAGTAGTGAGCTGAGGTAGATGGTGCACACATAGTTCCTCCCCAAACAGAGAAGAAGTATGTGACAACAGAAATTAAACAATCGGTTGGAATGTTTTAGAGATGGACATTTGGGTTCTTTTATAATTCAGTCTGTCCCATCTGTTCCTAAGGAAAAACCAAGTATTCATAAAGATTTACAAGAAGGTGAATATCCTACACTGTTAATACAGGTTTAACCTGTATTTCTTACTCTGATTTTGAGTTTGACTTTACTGCTATCCTCATTCTTCTCCAGTATTTGACCAGGTTCTAGTGGGGACCCCAGTGGTGTATCAGACTTCCTCTTCACTCCCTGCTGATGAGCTGATATATTACATGATGCTTCCTTGGCAAGATGATCAACTTCCTGCGGCAATATTTAAGATCAAAATTAGTTTCTGAAGACAAGTAGCTCATATTATAGCTGAAAACTAATAGCTATTGCAACCATGCAGATCAGAGCATGCCCAGTGCCTGTAAGTTATCAGCAATGGGCTTAAAATAAATTTCATCTTTTCTTGTCTGCTAGTTTTTTGGGGGAAGAAAGAAGTTATTTAAGTGAACTTTCAGAGTTTTCCCAAAAGAATATATCTTTTGGCATCATTTTCTCCTCTTATCCTAAAGACTCAAAGTGTGAATGTGGATAAATTAACATACATGTGCGAGAATTATAAACATATTCATTTCCATAGATTTATAACTATTCAGATCTGAAAGAGCTCTATAATGAGACTTTTTAGCCCTATGTCTTACTTTTTCATAACCCAAACTCTAGGATACATTTTAAATTTACAAGTAAAATTGTATTTAAGAAAATCTCGGTGATAAGTAATTTGAAATGACTAGTTCTAACTGGCATAGACAGAATCTGAATGTTAAAGTGCCAAAACACCAGTAGGGAATTGCTAGGCAAGTAATCTGGTCTAAATATTGGTGAAAAATGAAGCTTGAAGTATTGGGAACATTTTGTCATCAATAAGAAAATCATTTCTGAAAAATGTCCTTTAAATTATAGTAAAATGGTTGATATGTATCCTAAAGGTCTTTCTACAAAATTCTGGTAATTTTATAATACATAGCTAGAAATAAAACTTTTCAAAAGGCAAGCATAATATATATAAAATTTTAAAATGTAATGCATAATCTCCTCCCAAATCAGATTACTCATTTACGTGATAATTTATTATCTTTCTACTTATTTAATTCAAGAAGCTTTTCATTTGCCAGGCACTCATTATGTTTAGAACTATGCTAGGTATTACACAGAGTAGGGAAAAAAAAGTCAAGGCCCCTTGTGTTCAGTGTTCCATTACCATATATGGACAAGAAGGTTAACATATAACAGGCTAAATATTCATGTCAATTTTCTACTACTCAACGAAGAAATTCTATGCTCAGTATAAACAATCATTATGTCATCATAAAAGGAGTAAAGGGACTGGCAGCACTATGTAGTTGTCAGTAGCACTTTGTAAACTACACAGTACTATATGAATGCCAGCTGTTTCTCAAAAGGTACAAAAAAACTGTCTGAAGCTTTAAAACTTGCCAGTTCAAAAGAAACAATTCTCCTCTCTAGAGAGCTCAATATAATAAAATTATATCTGTAACACATGCAATTCTTACAGGGTTCTGAAATCCAACTAGCTGTGCGTGGCCACTTGGATTAATTGCAGTTTCTTGGTTGCCTGTGATGACCTCTGGAATTATGGTTGGATTCAAGACAGCTTTTTTCTCTTTTAGATTAAGAACCAACCCAAGCTCTGGCAAGGGTAAGCAGGAAGGTCTACTGAGGCCAAAAAGTGTGAAATACAAGTCCACAGCACCACACCGTAGCCTCCAGTCATGTGAAGTACCTAAAAAGTAAATAAAGAAATGAAAATATACACATTTAACTGTACATTTTCATTTGTTGCAGAACTTGTGCGGAAGGATGAAAGGATTATCATGCTTAAAAAGAGCCATCCCTTGACCTAGGCCCCACTGGCAAACCCTCTACCCTAAAGATGCATCTTATCCTAACTCGGATACTTATAAATTGTTACAGGAACAATCAATGTTTGTGAATGAACGAGTGAATGTTATAATTGGAAAAATGTTTTTATCGTTACACCATTCTTCTTTACAAAATGAATTTTTAAAAAGTATTGTTTTCTGCCTTTAAATTTTCTTCCACATTCGTTCATTCTCCGTTCATCTTGTCTGATATTCTTCTTTAATAATCTGTTAGAAAGACAGTGCTCCATGAGCCTTCATGAACCCTGGCATTTGAAACATATTCTCCTAACTCTCAAATTTATTATGTTCAGGTTTTAAATATAAGAAACCCTACAACTACTTGAAATAACATAATTCTAAAATTCGACTTATTGTAGAGGAGGAAAATATTTTGCTAAACACCTTTATATTAGTGTTGCTATACCAGGTGTTTTGTTTTTTTTTTTTTTTTAAATATATTTTATTGATTTTTCACAGAGAGGAAGGGAGAGAGATAGAGAGTTAGAAACATCGATGAGAGAGAAACATCGATCAGCTGCCTCCTGCACATCTCCCACTGGGGATGTGCCCACAACCCAGGTATATGCCCTTGACCGGAATCGAACCCGGGACCCTTGAGTCCACAGGCCGACGCTCTATCCACTGAGCCAAACCGGCCTCGGCATACCAGGTGTTTGTTTTAAAAAAATAAATAATAGCAATAATAATAACAATACTAAGCAAACCCCAGAGGTGGCTACAGATAGTACAACATGTATGGAGGAGAAGACTGCCTGTGTAGAAATTCAGCTTAAAGTAGCTGAGAGACTAGAGGCAAGTTCTTTCAATTCCTCTGATGAGGCTTAGTTTTTTTTATCTCCAAAATAGGGGTTTGATCTCAGATTGGCCCAAGTCAATGACAGGCCAGATACCAGAGTTCTTTCTCACTTTCCTTTTTTTCCCCCCAGTAGAGCACTCCAGGTAGGTACTGCCATCAAATAGACCTGACTGACAAAGATAAAAATTGCACCTAGGGTTAGGTAATTTATATAATTTCCAGGCCAAATTTAAAATAATCTAGAGCATTTAAAACAAGTGAGAAGCAATACATAAATTCTTCCAGATAAGAAAACAAACCTTATAAATATTAAAATTAGACTGTGGTTTCAAAAGAGAGGCATAATATTTAAAAAGAAACAAGAAAGAAGCTGTTACAGCAAATTTTGGACAGCATAAATATTAAGCTTTGTGATTTTCAAGAACAAATATTAGAATAAGAAAATAAATTATAATCGACTAGTGATTCTGATGAGATTTACTCTAGTAGATAAGTAAATATTATATTAACTAGAAGCTCGTTGCATGAAGATTCGCACAATAGGCCTTCCTTCCCCTGGCTGCCGGCACTGGTTTTCCTCCAGCACCCGGGACCCAGGCCTTTGGTCCGGCCGCAGCAGAGGCTTGGCTTCTCCCCTCCGGCCACAGCGAGAAGCCAAGCCTCTTCAGTCTTCACTCCGGCCCGAGCCTTCAGTCTTCGCTCCGCACCCGCCTATGCAAATTAACTGGCATCTTTGTTGGGTTAATTTGCATAGTCACTCTGATTGGCTGGTGGGTATAGCGGAGTGACACCAATTTGCACTTTTCTCTTTTATTAGTGTAGATTATATGCAAAGGTAATCCATACAAAAGGAATTATAATTTTATGGAGTTCATACTACACTACACTGTGCTGAGGACTCTGCATGCCACACTGCTGTGAAGGAGCTACCGTGAATCCCATCTGAGACATCTTCATTCTGCCATTGTGTATAAAGGTAGCAGAAACATAGCACTGTTAGAAGCAAAAGAAAGGTAGGAGGATAAGGTTTTTATGCCCTAAAAACCATAAAAAAAAACCAAAAAACACAGAAATGGGAAGAACAGTACAAAATGAAAGAATTCACACTGGAAATCCATTCCCTTCTCTGGAATATGCATATCTGGACACCTTACTGGCCTGGCATTGCTTCATTTTTGTAGGCCTTCATTATTCTTCTCCTCAAAGCATCAGAATCCTGGGCCTTTCACACAGATGATGGAGGGGCTCAACCTCTAAAACAGTGGTTCTCAACCTTCCTAATGCCCACAACCCTTTAATACAGTTCCTCATGTTGTGGTAACCCCCAATTTCATTGTTACAAATTGAACATAATTAAAGCATAGTGATTAATCACAAAAACAATATGCAATTATATATGTGTTTCCTGATGGTCTTAGGCGACCCCTGTGAAAGGGTCGTTTGACCCCCAAAGGGGTTGCGACCCACAGGTTGAGAACCGCTGCTCTAAAAGAAGGGAGGGATCCTGACAGAGCAGCTAGCCCTGTGTCTATATATTCGTGGGTGTAGCAAGAAAAGGAGTAAATCTTAGGCACTGTATCAGTTAGAAAAACAAGAATGGTTTAGGGTACATTTGTACTGGAAGAAAACCCTGAAGAACAATATCACCTTATTATTTATCTCTGCTGCCATCCTGACCATTTTGTTACAGATGTCATTGAAACCAGTTAAACAACTGAATTATTTTAATTTAAAAACTATTATTTTAATTTTTAAAAGCAAATGGAAATGTGTTTTCATAAGCTAGGATGTTGTTTTGTGTTTTAAAGTCAGATTAAGGATAATTAGGCAGCATAGTGAAGGCTGCTAAATTTCACTAAACCACTACACTACAGCTTTTTACTTTTTTTTTAATATGATTCTACTTTTTTTTTTTTAGAGAGAGGAAGGGAGAGAGAGAGGCAGGAGCATCGATGAGAGAGAGAAACATCGATCGGCTGCCTCTGTCTCCTACTGGGGATCAAGCCCACAACCTGGGAATGTGCCCTGATCGGGAATCGAATTAGTAACCTCTTAGTTCATAGGTCGAAGCTCAACCACTGAGCCACATTGGCTGGGCTATGGTTTTTACTTTTTATTTCTACGTGGGCTTTTTGGTTTGGGTTTACCTTTAGTTTGGATGGAGGAATGAACATTATTGTTTTGTTTCTGAGGGAGTTCCTGATGGTGTGTTTTCCTTCAAATAATTGATTTATAAATATTAAAATTTAAGGCTACAAGAGAGCTAAAAAATGGAATAGTGGTGCTTCTGTTAAAATTACAAAAAAAAAAAAAAAAAAAGATAAAAAATCAGAACTGCCCTGTATTTCAAAACCATGGAATAAAATCTTAAAATGGTTGTCATTATAGTGGAATTTAAGTTGAACAGCATAGTGGGAAAAATCACTTCTGCTTAATTCCAGTTAGCTGTGTGATCTTGGGCAAGTCAATTGTCTGGGCCCTAAATGAGAGCAGTTAACTTAGCTGGTCGTTAGATCCTCCAAGATCTAAAATGCTAGGATTCCAAATCAATCAATTCCACTAGACCCATGGTCGGCAAACTGCGGCTCGCAAGCCACATGCGGCTCTTTGGCCCCTTGAGTGTGGCTCTTCCTAAGCCTTAGGAGTACCCTAATTAAGTTAATAACAATGTACCTACCTATATAGTTTAAGTTTAAAAAATTTGGCTCTCAAAATAAATTTCAGTCGTACTGTTGATATTTGGCTCTGTTGACTAATGAGTTTGCCGACCACTGCACACACTAGACAGAGGCCCTGGAACAGATGCCAATGTCCGTGACAGCATTTTGAAGACCCTCTCACCCCAATCACTGACATGGCAAGGAATGCTCATCTATAAATATAAAAGGCTAATATGCAAATTGTCCACTTGGGAGTTTGACCAGGAGAGCGGGAGTTCGATCGCTCGCTATGACATGCACTGACCACCAAGGGGCAGCGTGGAACATAGCAGGCTACCTGCAGCGATGGCAGGGCACTGAGGGAGTGAGGGAAGGAGGAGGTGGGGAGGCCAGGCCTAGGGACCCTACCCTATATGAATTTCGTGCACCAGGCCTCTAGTATATTGATAAAACAGTCATCACTTTCTTAATGCATCCATTCTGTCTTCATTGGCAGTGAAACTTAGGGACCAACCCTGCTTACCTGGAATACAACTGCACTCAAGAAGAAAGGAGGAAACCCAGTATTGATGTTCTCTATTCAAATCAGAAAGAATATGAAGACAAACCACTAAGCAAATCCAGTCCTAAAAAAGATCATCTCTTCATTTTCTGAAGTAATTGCTATTAAAGCTGATCAAGTCAAAAAGCTGCTAAGAAGAAAGTTCACTTTGAAAGTCACTTTTTCAAGACATTTTTCAATAATGTCCTTATAGATAGAAGCTTGAAAATGTGTATGAAGTGGGACCAAAGGGCAGTTCTGTCCCATCTTTCTGTCCATCTTACACTAAGTAAAAAACAGCAAATTTCATTTTTATTTGTATACATATGTAATTTCCTAAGAATAAAGGGAAAAGACTTATTTTCAACCCTTTGTAACCTTATGAAATAAAAACAACAATAATACTTGGCAGGTTAATATTTAAAGCTCTTTAAACATCTGAGACACTTTCACATAAATTAATATTTTTGTTTCTTCAATTACCCTTTGGGGCAAAGTGAGTAAATATATCCTTAGCAAACCTTATCACATCCACCACTGTGAAGGTAGATGTGTTAAGTAACCTACTTAAAAAAAGAAAGAAAAAAGTATTGAAAACCTGTTATAAAATGAAAATAATCCAGTCATAATTTTGTTTTTTTGAAAGCTACTATTTTCTTACCCGAATTCATAAGTTTCCAAAGTTGATCTACCAGGGCTTCATTGCATAAGGGAGACTCCATGTTCTTAGTAAATGGTGGGTTCTTAGTCAACATGTGTAGAATCTTATGTCTGGAGGAAAAAAAATAAAATTTTGCCTATCATTAAATTAAAAAATTTGAAAATTACCTGTAGTTCCTTCTTCCTATTTTATCATCTACCTTCTTTAGAGCTAGCTTTGTGCCTGAGTTTCATTTCAAAAGGTGTATATTACTATATACCTTTTATACTGTTTTTTGTTTTCCCCCCCGCTAAATTCTGGTGGGTTTTCTTTCTAAAATTGCCTTACTGTACAATGAGATCTTCTAAAACCTGACTCTGTGTATTCTTAACCAATCATTCCCTGCCTGCTTCTAAAATGAATGTATTACTCTCCTTAGAAAAGTTTTAAGAAAGAACTGATCAGAAAATATAAAAATCTTAAAATGGGACAAAAAAATCACATATAGGCCAAGAAGTCTACATTTGAGATAATACAAATGAATATAAACTTTGTTAATATAGTTTCTTTGTCAAGCATGGAAATGTGCAGAAGCATTTCAAATATGGAGATTGCAAAACGTTTCCTCAAAATAAGCTGAGATTTAGAAGAGTCAGTTATAACAAAGATCCATACAGATGGCAACAGTTATACTCTGCTATTGGGAGTTTTTACCTGAACATATGGAGTCTTCTGAAAAACACCATAAAAAGAGGATAGAGAAAGAAAAGAAGCAAGGAGGCTCTGACAGTAATTTAACATTTAGTGAAGGGATAAAAGCCAGGCCTATGATGAGGTCTGAGAAATTCAAACCTCAGAGTAATGGCATGCTTGGATATAATGGAGGAAAAAAGAAACTGAGGTTATATTTTTTATTGATGCTAGCAAAACTTTAAAAAAGGTGGTGAACCTGGGAAATTTTTATATTTAATTGTTGGTGGAAAGATATCAAATCAGATTAGTACTTGAGAAAGAGATGGGAGAAAAATGGACTAGTAGGTTGTAGTTAAGTTACTTAATCCCTTTCGGATTTAATTTTATGTCTGTAAAACTGAAATATGTGGACTCTCACTGTTAACATCCTTTTGTGCTTTGAAATTTTAAGACCATATGAAAGACTACTGAAAGGCTATGAGAACAAATAAAACTTTATGGTATTTATGCAGATCAGTACACTCTTTAAAGCCATGCCAAAGAATTGTAAAGGGTACTCTGGGGATAACTTTGAAATTATTACTAAAAGAGCAGTAATGATTAATATATGTATTACTTTTAACAATTAAACGTTTCTTTAAATACTCAAAAGGAGATAAAATTTAAGGAAAGAATGAGAATCTTATGTTTAATTTTTGCAGAGATTAAATATCAAAACTCACCATATGTTTCAGACATCTGGAACAAACCAGAAGCAAATCCTAAGAAAGTCATGGGTTTATGTCATATTGACAGCAGCCAAAACATCGTATTATTTCCCTAGACAATTGAACAGTTTTTTGGTGGGCTAGTCAAATACCATTGTCAATCACTATCTATAGAAAGGGAGTCAAACCGAAACCAAAAAAATATTCAAAAACTCCCATGAAAAAAAAGCATAGGATATATGTCCCTTGAATTGATAAACTGTGATCATATGCATGCTTGATTCCAAAATAAGAAGATAATCCCATGTCATCTTTAAAAATAGCCTACTTAACCTAATGCAATATAACTAATAGATACTATGTTATTTGTCAATTATACTTCAATAGAGAAAGAAAAAAAGAAAAAGAAAAGATGGAACAAAGAAAATAAGACTTGAGTTCCTATTGAAAGTATAAAACGCAGAGAAACAAAAATAGAGATAGATGTCCCAAGACACCAAAAAGTACACATAAAGTAACTGCTGTGTTAACACTTACTGCCATTAAATATTTTTAAAGACGTGTTGAGTTTTTTAATTGATTTTAGAGAGAGGGGAAGGAAGAGGGGTAGGGAGACAGAAACATTGATGACAGAGAAACATTGATCGCCTGCCACCTGCAAGCCCTCTACTGGGGACCGAGCAACCCTGGCACATGCCCCGACTGGGAATCAAACTGGCAACCTCTTGGTTCATGGGTCGAAACTAAACCACTGAGCCACCCTGGCTGGGCAACATGTTGAATTTTTTAAACTATGAGTAAACTATGGGTTAGATGATTTTAAGTAAAGCCTATTGGTGCTCTAAGTGAACCACATGAATTAAAAAGAAAACATGTCAAAAATAATCATGAAATATATCCTTAAAGAGATTTTCATCTCAGATTATAAATATTAGAGCTCTTGAAATTTGAATGATATTAACAGTTCTACAACAGTATTTCAAAAGCAATTATTTAGACTGTACAACATATAATTCAGAAATATAAAAATTTCAAATATTACAGAATTCAAAACCTGCTTAAAATGGTTTTCAAAACACAATTCTAAGATCTCAGAAATATGAATCTTTTTTTAAAAAATATTTTTATTTATTTCAGAGAGGAATGGAGAGGGAGAGAGAGAGATAGAAACATCAATGATGAGAATCACTGATCGGCTGCCTCCTGCACGCCCTCTACTGGGGATCAAACCAGCAACCCAGGCATGTGCCCTTGACTGGAATCAAACCCAGGACCTTTTAGTCCGCAGGCTGATACTCTATCTATCCACTGAGCAAACCAGCTAGGGCAGAAATATGCATCTTAATGTTTGTTCTATTGATGTGTATTGAAAACAAATGAATACATGGTAAGTTTCATTTATTCTGTATTTATACTTTCTGTTCCTACTTGCTATCAGTAGGATATAAACTTTCAAATGCATGAGCTCTGTCAGATAAGAGATATAGACAGGTCTTTTGCATATCATCTTTTATATAAATATGTATTTTAGAATGAATGATTATAAGATTTTTGTCCATGTAACCTTTATCCTTATTATAAAACAATCACACGACAAATTATTTAAAATACAATTTAGATCACAAATGAAGAACTATAAAATATTAACAGCAAAACTTTGTATAAAGAAGACTTATGTAATAAGCATCATTTAAAACACTTAAATATAAGGTCACTTAACCAAAGAGCTGAAATGTCTTATGTGAATTCCTCATGCTCAGATACATTTCAGTGAGGTTAGAAGGCAGAGTTTGTTTGACTTTTTAGAAGAAAATAACTACCTGCCAACTGGTGTGTAAAGTTGAGCCACACAATTAATATCTAGTTCTATGTTCTTGTTTCCAGTTGGAATGGCTACAACCTAAGTGACTTTCCAGCTCCCAAAATTTATTTTATGAAATCATGTTAAAATGAATAAAAATTTTAAGTGTTTAATACGTGCAAAGAAAGACAAAAATGATAAAAAAATAATCCTATTTGATTAAACCATAAACATCCTACTTTGCAAAAGAAAGCAGAAGAAGATTAGAAGGAAATACAAAAACACAAATAATCCCGCCTACTTAAGAAAAATTAAGATTTTATATGAGATAGAAAAGAACAAATGGAATATACCAAAAAGTTGCTCTTAATTATTTTTAAAGTAAGTTCAGCCAATCAGTAGAGGTTTCATAATTTTGGGTACATAAGGGATCCTCTAGATGCACTACAAAAGCTTTCCTTTAAGTTACAATAGAAATCATATGTAAAGTTACAGAAAATAAGTTTTATTTATTAACAACGTATTTTTAAACGACTTCTCAAAGCCACATCAAATTAATAAATTTAGAAAGGGCGTGATAAAAGCCTAACATATTCCTATGTTTTCAAAAATAACAAAGACTTTTGCATGTATAATCTTCTGAAATTATTCAATTTACTTTAGGACTTTAAAAAATAATTATAGCACAAAAACTAACCTTACATAGGGTACAGGGTCATTCTGAATCATATTAAGGAGCCACTGCAGTTCTTCATAACTCCTGTCCACTGAAAATAAAAATAAAGAAATATATTTGTTGCAATTATAACCAATTAAACAAGTGACAGGCAAGGAGTTCACACTTAGTATTAGGACTCTTCCTTAGCTGGATTTAAATCAGAGTTGAAAGCTGCAGACAACTTCTTTACATTTTTTCCCCATGTAATAGACCACTTCGTAAATTTTATAAGTATTGTGCTCTATGCAGCCAAAACATAAAACAGGACCAAGTGTATATTTTTCATTATAGCTCAAATCAATGGCAAATACAACATAAAGCAAATTATAATTTATTGAGCCCTAAACTCTAAATGGACAGAATGTACTTAAATAAAATTGTGTTTCTAGAAGCATAAATCAAATTATAGAGAAGTCTGATACTCAATGGTATCTCAACTATATTATTTTTTTAAAATAGTGAACTGTTTTTGCCCAAGTGGTTTCTTTCATCTAAGACTAAAGAGCAGCCTTAACTTTTCAACATAACATAAAAAGCAATTACAAAGAAAAGTGCTGTAACTATATTAACCAATAAAATGACTCATTAGCTATTCCCATTCACCTTTTCAACAAGTTTTGCTATTATGACTTGAAAAGCTTTATTTTAATAATTTTATTTCTAATAGTTTCCATTTTCAAATGATCTTCAATTCATGGATCACATTTAGACACCTCTCAATAGCTTAGTTCAATTTCACTGACACCCTATCACAGTATTCTATTACTTCTTGGATTATTTCTTTTCTGCCACCTGCTCCTTTCTTCATGACTTACATTTCATCTCTTTATATTTCTCCTCTGTATTTCTGAAAATGTTTTAACTCTGTAGTTTTCTCTTAATTATTTTTGGCCTTATTTTCCAACTTTATAAAGCCTTGCTTAATCCCTGTACTGAAGCTCCTGACGATGTCTCTTGCTCTACTTTCAGATATAAATCTGAGATAGGAGCATGATGTCTTCTTGAATCCTTCTTATATAGTTAAAAATTTACAAAAATCTCCTATTTCTTAAAATAACTCATAATTAAAACTATAAGAATGGTATACTGACTTCTTGGAAAGACCAAAGATATCTACTTATAATTTTATTCTTTTCCCTCACTTACTAATTCTTATAAGAATTCTACACTGACCACAAAATCAGTGAATTAAGAATTTTAAGTTAAAATTGTATTTTACATAATAAGAAAACCGCAATATCTACAACTGACTTTAAATAGTAAACATTTCTTTCTAAAATGATATGAACAAATATTTCTAAAGCATTACCTTTAGTATAATCAACAACTGCTTCCAGAGCTGCTATCCTAATGTCCACAAAGTGGCCATATTCTGCGTAGGATTTAAAAAGAGTTGGATCGCTCGGAACATGACCATTCTTCTGAAGCACTCGTATGGCTCTCAAACAACTAGGAAAATAGTATTTACAGTGAAATTCTTTTGTTAAAGTAGTCTGAGTCAAATTTGTTTGCTAGGCATTAGAAATTTATCTGTAACAGTGAACTAAAAAAATTGACCTGATTTGAATCCACCTTTTAATTCCATAACATTAAGTTTTTGCAACAATCATAACAATTTTAAACATCTAAATCCTATGAAAGGAAAATAAATTTTAAAACTTATTTGTAAATCCAATTTCAGGTATTAATATTCTTATTATTTTCACCAAAAGTTTTAGTAGTTATATAGTTTAATAAATAATAAATGTGAAAGGTTAAATTGTTCACAATGTTTGAAACAGTGAATCAACTTTTTTTAGCAAACTCCTAAGGAAATAGAACTTTTTGATAATTATATACAAAAAAGTTGAAAAAAGCAAAAAGTCATCTTAAAAGAGTTTAATAGAAAAATGCTTATATTATATCCAATGAGATAAAATATTTTGCAGACATAAAAAATAATGCTTTTGAAGAATTCCTGATGACATGAGAAAGTATTTATGATATAAGCAGAATGCAAAAATTATATGTACAATATATGTCCAGTAATTAAACATTTATATTGTTACAAGAGGAAAAAAATTAGAAGGCTACTCTCCAAAACAGTATTGTAATAATTTATCTGTGGATGATAGAACCATAGGATCTTAATCTTCTCCTTGATCTTTACTGTATTTCCCAGTTTTCTATAATGAAAATAAATTTGCTTGTAATTATAAAACAAATGACTTTAAAGAATAAAGAAAATGTAAAGAATCATCATACCTCACAGTGATGGTGTGTCTATAACTTGGAAGAAGTTTTTCCATATTCAAAAACCTGGTGATTTCTTCAAGAATGAGTCGCACATCTGGATTTAAATTATCTAAAGTTCGAACTTCATTATTCACACTGACTGCAGGTGTAACAGAGTTGGCAAGGGCATCAATCATTTCTGCACGATAATAGTTATCTGAAAACTAAGCCAAAAAAATTATTATATAAAGATAAAATTCACGCTTCTATTAAAAAATTAATAAAATAAAATATTTAAAACCTAAGACCATAATTTATCTAAAAACATAAATTGGTAAGTACTCAACTCTGTGTTTTGCATAGAGTCACACATAGAAAAAAAAGTGAGATTCATTAACTAGTAATATAGTAGTTAACTCAATAAGTATTTACTATATGAAAGGCACTCTTATAGTAACCTAGCCAGATTTCTCTAAAAGGAAGACCAAAGTCCATAAATCCTGCTGGTAATACAAAGCTTCAAATCAGCTACTTAGTGCTTTCCTCTCACATATAAACATATAACCAAAGATCACTAGATATTTCAGAAAAGTATCAACATAAAAAAGACCAGAACAAACAAAGGGGAAAACGCAACTTGAAGGAAATAGAGTATTCAAGGGGGAAAAAACATGCAGGTGGAAAAAAATTCAAAACTATCATTAATATTGTCTGAGAAATAACCAAAGAGATGCCTCCCAATAGTAAAACATTTTAAAAAGAAAGAAATATGCAGAGAATCAGGATCAAAATTAAACTGAAATATTAAGTTTTTTAAAAAAAATAAAGTTTTGAGCAGAAGTAAAGTGAGAAAAAAATAGGAAGGAAAGCATAAGGAAATTGGAGGGTTGGTGTAGAAGACATAGCACAGGAATAATAGGAGTTTCTAGCAAAAACAGAGAAAATGGAAGAGGAAACCGTAAAAAAAAGCTAATTCCTAAACCCATATCGCAGTCAATTCCCAGAGAAACAATTGATTGAAAGGCAATCTGGGTGTGACTTGATTTAAACTCAGGAAATCAGATACTCTAGCCTGGGAATCTGAACATGGAGCAAGTGAGTTAATTCTACCACAAACTGCCAGGGACGGAAGAGGAATACCTACCCCCTTTTGACTTACATTGTGGAGGCAGAACCTCACATGGATACACATGACAATAGAGTCCCTAAAGAGTCCTATGTTCAGATACTGAGCAGAAAAAAGAATATGGCACACAACAACAAACAAACAGAACCAAGTGTACACTATGGGAAAAGTTTTGTTTTCAAACCATTTACAGATTATTTTCTTCAAGTATTTTTATAGTTTCATTGTTACCTCTGGGAACTACTTTGCCCACAAAGCCCATTTATTTAACCACTATTTCTGACTTAAGTGTTTAGATCACAGAATGAACCCACAAATTAAAAATGAGGAGGGGGTGTAGGTAAAGTAGGAAAACCAAAAGACTTTAAATTTATCCCTCAGACCCAGCTGATCGGTGTTTCTCTCACATCGATGTTTCTAACTCTCTATCCCTCTCCCTTCCTCTCTGTAAAAAATCAATAAAATATATTTTAAAAAAATAATAAAAATAAGTAAATTTATCCCTCAGACCACATCCAATTCTCACAGATACTAGAATCCTAATTGGACAAGCTAGATTATCTGGTAACAAGTAAGGTGAAATAACTTGAACCATGGCATCCAATAGCTTTTTGCTAAATAAATGAATAAACACACACAATGGTTTTTAAAAAATCAAATACATCAATGAACAAATTATCCCAAAAGGGAACTGTTTTCTAGTAAAATAAAAAAGGAGCAAAAATAAAGTTGGGCTGTCAGACTTTATCAAAACAAGTTTTAAATGGCTCTCCAAAATTTGAGGCACTACTATCTCCACATTACAACAGTTATGAGGAACATTTAAAAACCAACTAATCTTGGTTTTCATCCACTGGTTATTATAATAAATCATGTTTACAGGCTTCTAATGCTAGAAATTTCAAGTACCAGGGAGTCAACAATGATTTCACAGTCTAAATATTTCTTTAAAAACAAAATATCACTGGATAGTTTTATAATAATCATTAAGATTTCTTACCTTATTTTTTCTGTTGTCATTGTACTTGATTAAGTCTAAAATAAATGTTAAGACTTCTTTGGGACAAAGGTTGTGAACGTCTCTCAATAGAGCCATTGCAACTGGCATAGTCTACAAAAAATAATATTTTTAAGTATTATAACTCAATTCATTACTATAATTCATTGAATTCAGTGCATGTTAAAAAAAGGGCTATTTTAGTGCAAACACAGGTTTCTGGATGGAGCCTAACCCCCCCGTAACTCCCAGACCTTCCCACTAAGAACATGTGCCAAACATTCTAACAAAAGAGCTGAGCAGGAAACCAAGGGAGCTGAGTAACTGGATGCACTCTCTAGCCCACATGCCTCTGTATTCATTTGTCAGAGGAAATATACGTCATGTAAATGATATATTCAGCTCTGGGTTTTACAGTCGAAAAGGTATGGGTTTTAACATTAGATAAACCATTGTTCAACTCCTACTCTACTGCCTACTAAGATGGGTTATTTTAGCGAGTTGCTTACTAAAAAGCCTCACAACCACACAACTGTTTTCAGGATTAAATGAAATAGTGACTGAGGCATACAGTTCAATCATCAGTCTGAGTAGACATTGATTCTCCAATACCACCCCATCTCAGCTTAAGGAAAAAAGGTAAATTATCTGAAATCCAGCCTAACATTCTCCTTCCCAAATTTTCACAGGCAACTTTTCTAAGAAGGTGGAAGCCTGACTCACACAGTAAAAATAAATAAATCAATAATAAAATAAAATAACGGGATGCCACAAACTTCTCTGATCACACCACTATAGGCTTTCCCCAAACTGTCCTGAATCTGTTTTAATGATGAAATTCACTGTAAATAATATATTATGACTTCCACTCTTAGCAGGTCTCTCAACATTTCCAAGTAATCCTTTTACTTTTCCCTTTATCATATATAATGCTTAACATCTCCTTCAACAGCTATCATGTCACTTACTTTTTAAAAAATATTTTTTAAAGATATGTTTTTATTGATTTCAGAAACAGGCAGAGGGAGGGAGAGAGAGATAGAAACATCAATGATGAGAATCATTGATCGGCTACCTCCTGCACATCCCCTACTAGGTATTGAGCCAGACAGGGAATCGAACCGTGACTCCTTAATTCATGGTTGGCAATCAACCACTGAACCACACCGGCCTGGCTCATTTCACTTACTTTTAATCTGCTTTCCACCTGCCTCAGAAAAGAGGGAGCTTCTTACCTTTTCTTAAATTAACCTCCCAACTGTGTCCCACACCTTAACACCTTCAGAATTCTCTCCATCTCTCTAATATTTACTGGCTCCCACTGAATATTTCATCCCTCTATCCAAAATAAACCAAACCCATAATGTCCTTTACTCAGGCCTGCTTTATTCTCAACATGTCTCCATTCTCATACTCTTCACCCCCAAACCAAGAAAGATTTTTCTATTTCAACTTCACTTTTCCTTCTAGTCCAATCTAGTTCATCTAATCACTGCCTTCATTATTAAATTACTCAAAAAATTTTACAAATGATTTCCAAATTGCCCAAATGTTGACCACCCTGCCATCCTCACATTCCCTCCCAAAACAGTGACTTCATCACATCCCCACTTTCTAAATTATCATTTATAAAAGACTTACTGTGTGATAAATATAATCTAAAACATTTTACATGCTTGATCTTAATTAATTCTAAAAAAGATAAATTTTACAATTGAGTAGACTGAGGCTTAGAGGGTTAAGGAACTTGTCCATAGGCAAACTGTCAGTGAGTAACAGGGCTGGGACTGACGCTAGTGTGGTGTGCTGCTTGTCTCTTACTCAGATATACTGTCCACATCCTAGGGCTTACCCATTCCTCCATCCTCAACGTAACCAGCCCAAATTCAAACTATCCATTTCTATTTATTTTAGTATTAATGTGGATTGTGAGTTACTTTCCACCGCTCATAAAATCAATGAGCAATCACTTAATTAAAATTTTGGAAAAAACTTTAGAAACAAAAAGAACAAAGGCAAAACCTTTAAGAATAAAATAAACACATCGATTATTTGAATAGTCTCCAAGTTAAACTGAGATATACAGATAGTGGCATAAAACAATCATAGGAAATTTGGAAAGTAAACTGTACCTTTTGTAGAAAATAACTTTGAAAGCTCATAAAGTTGTTTGTTTTCACAATGTTTGGACAAGTTTTACAACAAAACATTCTAGTAAAGAGTGACTTCATGGCTGGTGGTCCTGTCCATGTGCTCACCATTGAATTTGCAATCTGCAAATAATTAGAAAACAAAGTAATTTCCATCACCACAGCAAACATATTTTTAAATAAATAAAACAGCTTTCCAAAAGTTAGCAATGCAATTGGATTAGTTTTTAGTAACTTCAATTCTTAGAAATTTAATACATTTTAGCCTTCCATTATCATTTCTAAGAAAATATACAAACTTACCCCCCAAATTCTTATGTACACACCAACCACTGATCCACACTGGCCAGGGCAGAGTTCTATTTTTTTTAATATGCAGTATTCAATCTTGTTTTCTTTCTACTGTATGTAATCTCACCTTTGCAAGGCAGAAGCAAGCTGACATTCTTACTCGGTAGAAACACTGCTCTTGTTCTAGAATGTCAGTGAGGGCAAGCCGCGATGCTGGTGTGGGGAACTTTTCCAAGGCCAAGATGGACTCTTGCTGTGCAACCACATCCCTCTCGTAGCGGAGCTGGTACTGCCACATGAAATCCGCTTGCTCAAATTCTACTTTCCTCAGGACTGACATATCGGGGTCTATCCTTATCCACAGCAAAGGGGAATCAGCACTGAAAGAAAACACAACTTTCCTTTTTATTTATTTTTTAATTTTACATATTCATAAAATAGAAACAAAGCATTATTAATCAGATTCTCTTCTACATGCAGTATTCAAGTCTGCCTGGAGTTTAATGTATCCATTTTTTAAAAATCACATTGACAGCTTTCCCATTATGTTTAACTTCAACACAATGTCTATCTATATCAATCATGTTGAAAAGATCTCCAAGGATAGTAAGACAATTAGCTGTCACAAAGAAATTCCATCTGAAATTATTAATTTGGGACTTTGATTTGTGATTACATAATGTAAAAAGGGGAATAAGAACAAGTTTTTTCATTTCACTTCCTGTCGCCAAATAATTGACTAAGGCTTTAAGGGCCACCCCTTACTAGAAATCAATCTGTGACTAAGAAATGAATTATTTTACTAAGTTATTTGTTTAACTGACTTTTAGTATTTTATTTTTTTAAAATGCTAGACTCATAATCACCTTTTTCAAACAGTAAGTTATAAAATCATAGTTTGGAAATTCATCCAATACCACTGATTGCTTACTATAGCCAAGGCATGTGATACGGAAAAAATATAAAAACAGTCTATAAACAGCAGTGATATTTGGCAACCAAGTTAGTAAATAACTGCAGATGTTTTATAAAAAAATATACAGGCACAATATGGATGGACAAAAAGTTTAAAATTTTAAAATAATGATATTTAAATTGTGTTTTGCAAGCACAGAGATCCTTAAAGTACCCTGAAGCCTTGTCCAAAGACATAGAATCAATACCACCTGAGAGCTCATTAAGAATGAAAACACTTAGAACCCACTAGGCACAGCGCTCAGTCAGAAACTGCATTTCGAGAAGATCCCCAGAAGTGTTGACATGCATGTTATAGCTTGAGAAGCACTGGTCTCAAGGCCAGCAGGAGAGCAAGGAAGCTGCGTAAACCAAGATTGTGCCCACCTCACCACCACCCTGTATTTCCCCAGACTAGATTTACTTTTCCCTCTTTCATTATATTTTTAATTTTATTTTTAAAATTAAATTTATTGGGATAACATCCTATCTAATAAAAGACAAAAAGGGTAATTAACCATACCTCCGCTATGCTTCCCATTGGCTAATCAGGGCGATATGCAAATTAACTGCCAACAAAGATGGCAGCCGGCAGTCATGCAGCTGAAGCGAACATGAGGCTTACTTGCTCCAGTGATGGAGGAAGCCAAGGTTCCCGGCCTGCTGCGGCCCGGCTCTGAGCCCGAAAGCAACAATGTTTCAATTATAGAAGCTAAACAAACCCCAGATACCTGCTTTCAGCCGGCCGCGGCCTCAGAGCTGGGAGCGCCAGTGACAGCAACAATGTCTCAATTATAGAAGGTAAATAAATCCCAAAATAAAAAAAAGAAGAAAAAAAGAGGCTGGGAGCTTCAGTCACCCACCAGCCTGAAAACGGCCCTCAGCCCCTCACCCAGACTGGCCAGGCACCCCAGTGGGGACCCCACCCTGAAGGGGGTGTGACCAGCTGCAAACAGCCATCAGCCCCTCACCCAGGCTGGCCAGGCACCCCAGCGGGACCCCCACCCTGATCCAGGACACCCTTCAGGGCAAACCAGCAGGCCCCACCCGTGCACCAGGCCTCTATCCTATATAGTAAAAGGGTAATATGCAAACTGACCCTTACAGCAGAAAGACTGGGAATGACTGGTCACTATGACAAACACTGACCACCAGGCAGCAGACGCTCAATGCAGGAGCTGCCCTCTGGTGGTCAGTGCGCTCCCACATGGGGGAGCTCTGTTCAGCCACAAGCCAGGCTGACGGCTGCCAATACAGCGGTGGTGGTGGGAGCCTCTCCTACCTCCTCAGTAGCGCTAAGGGTGTCCGACTGCAGCTTAGGCCTGCTCCCCGCTGGCAAGGGGATATCCCCCGAGGGCTGCCGGGCTGCCAGAGGGATGTCTGATTGCCATCTTAGGCCCAATCCTCTGGGGAGCAGACCAAAACCAGCAGGTGGTCATCCCCCGAGGGGTCCCAGACTGCGAGAGGGCACAGGCCAGGCTGAGGGACCCCCCAGCCCCGAGTGCACAAATTTTTGTGCACCGGGCTTCTAGTTGGTTAATAACACAAGTTTCACTACCTAAAGTCTAATCTCCTTCTGCCGCCCTATAGTTGACCCCCTTTACCCTCTTCATCCTCTTCCCCTCTAGTAATGACCATATTGATTGTGTCTATGAGTTTGTTTGTTCACTTGCTACTTTTTGTTTTATATCTCATGAGTGAAATCATATGATTCTTGTCCTTTTTCACCTGATTTATTTCACTTAGCATGATACTCTCAATATCCTTCCATATTGACACAAATGGCAATATTTCATCTTTTTTTATGGCTGAGATGATTTTACCTAAGATTTGTTTTAGCATAAGGTTCCATTGCCTTTCAAAAGTTTTCAAAGCACTAGTTTCAGGACATTTATATACTTTAAGATGTATATAACAAGACAAATGAGAATGTAGAAAATATATCCTTAAACTTAAGTAACTAACTTACTCCATTGCAGAAAGATCCATATCAACTTCCTCTCCATTCATCAGTGGAATTTTCTTCTTCTTATTCCTACATTTAAGAAAAATTAAGTTTGAAACTGTGACATTTCCAGTTCTGAGAAGAGATAAAGAGCAGCCGAAAATCAAGTTAAGGATTTCATGCAACATTGAAAGATAGCCTAAGGAAGAAGGAATAGTAAATGTAATGGAATTTAATCACCACAAAACTGATTTTGAAGCTGAAGGAATGAAGTGAATGAAATTGAGATGTCACTGTGATCAAAGTTTAATGAAAAGAAGAAATATAATTAAATGTCAACTTTAAACATATTCCCAAGAACTGGTAGCTACAGTTTTATGTAGAAAAGATAAGAAAGCTATCAATAAAGAAATCCTTTAAATTTTTTTTTAAAAAAAAAAAAGAAAAGAAAATCCAGCACTGGCTGGTGTGGTTTAGTTGGTTGAGTGCCATCCCATGCACCGCAAGGTCAGTTGATTCCCCTTTAAGGCACATGCCCAGGTTGTGGGTTCAATCTCCAGTGGAGATGTGTATGGGAGGCAACTGATTGATGTCAAAGGTAGAGAGCATAAAAAGAAAGAGGGCCTGGCTGGTGTGGCTCAATGATTGAGCATTGACCTATGAACCAGGAGGTCACAATTCAATTCCCAGTCAGGGTACATGCCCAGGTTGTGGGCTCGATCCTTTGGCATGCAAGAGGCAGCAGATCAATGTTTTCCTCTCATCATTGATATTTCTCTCTCTCTCTCTCTCTCTCTCTCTCTCTCTCTCTCTCTCTCTCTGTCTTCCTCTCTGAAATAAAAAAACAACATATTTTTTTAAAAAGGGGGAAATTTCCCTTTGAACTAAGAAAGAATTTTCAGAGAAAGAATAATTACAGATTCAAGGAAATGATTGGGGGAAATTCTTGAATCAAGTTCCCTGAAAGCTGTCAAAATCAACTGACACGCTCATGTCTGAGATGACCTAAATGTAGACATGAGTATAGACTTCTGTACCTGGAATTTTGATATTACTACACATTACTACAGCAAAGCACAAAAGTATGCTCATCTTTCACTGTTCAGAGTACATGCTACTGGCTGAGTTTTAAAAAAGTGATAAAGAAAAATACATTAAATAAAACATGAACTGCTGGACATCTCTAAGTAAACTGGTATTGTGCCCTTGAGACAGTAAGATTGTTCTGTAAGGGCATGGTGATACAGGGACAGGGGAGAAAGCCACATAGTGTAGATGATGTAGGGGCTTTCATGACATATGTATTCAGCTCCTTCCCTTATACCCAATGATCATTTCCCCAATATTTCCTGTAGATATTAATCCAATGAAACTAATAAGAATAAAACTAAGCAATTTATCTTGAATTTTTCCTTGCTCCAAAAACTCAAATTTCTATTCCACCTCCTCCTGTCCCTACAAAAATAAGGATTCTCAAACCTAAATTGAAAAATTAATTATTTAATTCTAAGGTAAAAAAATGTTGTCAAAAACAAAAAGCAAATAAAGAATGTTTGGTAATACTAACATGAAGTAAAATGGCACGGGGGGGGGGGGGGGGGGGAGAGATACTAGATAACATGTTCTCTACCTAAAAAATAGGTACACATTAGGATTTTTATTTTGGCATTTTAATCTGTGAAACTTACAATTTAATTATAAACTTCAACTTATAAATATGATCCAATGCCTACCTTCTGCTTTTGGAATGGCAGGGTATATCATGTTTAAGGCTGTTTTCTTCAATTTGCAATGTATGATTGAAGGATCCATCTAACTCCTGCACTGTCACTTTAAGTGGTCCCTTTAAATTAAAGAAACATAATGTTCATAGATAGTGCTAGAAAAATACCAATATGTACTCTTACATGTGTAGGTATATGTATCAAAATATAAAATAATACTATCCAAGATGTGTATCTGAAGACCAAGAAAAGCAATTAGTGCCAGAGGGGAGAATTTGTATCCCCTGAAATCTCCATTTGTAATCTGTCTTCCATTCAGCAACACTTGGTTTTTGCTCAATTTCATTCTTTGTAAACAAAATCACATTATGAAACTTCGAATCAGATCCCCACTCAAAAGCCCTTCCTATATTGTAACTGGGGAGAAAGTAATACAAAAGGTCATTTTAGAAAAAAAACTTACCACATATTTCTGAGTTCCAGGTGATGTATAATCTTGTTTTATTTCCAATTCCAAGACATTTCGTTTTCTATTAAATGCAAAACTTCCATAAAATTTTACCACTCCACTCTGGTCTCTGAAGAATCGTAAAGGAATTTTTGCATACTAAAATGAATATGTACTAAACAAATTATTCACTGTGGTAATAATAATTTTCAAATGCATCACCACCAGTTCAAAGCTTGAGAGCATGCTTCGTTGTAAAGCAGGTGGAAAAGTATTCAGAATTCTTGTGGAAAATGTTTCCCCAGATTTAAACAGAATTTCTGAAACATTAAGAAATTTGTGTTTTGAAAGAAGTAAAACCACTCTACTGGTTGCTAATATAATCAATGAGAAAATGCAAAAACTAAAAAGTTCCAAGATACTACTCAAGTTGTGCCAACTTCTAACCACATCCATAAGTCACCAGAACATTGCATCTTACAAGTAACTGTACAGGCCTGTATGAATTATTTACCTCCCCTACCATCAAGCCTGTTGCTGTTCTCACACTAAAAACTACTTCAAAATATACCAAATTTTACAAATAGTACAGATGTGTGTATGAGAGAGAGAGAGGTATGATTTATAGTTCTTGGTTATTTTTACTATTCTTTAGAAATATAGTTTTTATCTCTCCTTTCATCCCCCAAATCCCTCTTCTTCCTCCCTCCCCTCACACATACAATCTTCTCCCCCTGCCCCCACCACCACTTGTTGAACTGCTATTTAAAAGGATACACCCACTGCTTTATTAAAGGCTGAATGTCTTTGCCAGAGACATTCGAGATGGATTTCAAAAACCCAAACGTGGAAACCAACATTTGACTCCACATATGGGACTGGAACTTCTGAGATGAAGCAGTACTAGCCAAACTTAGCAGTTTATTGAAAACCTGTAAGGATAAAAGTATCATTTAGTAACATAATATACATTGCTTTCAATTATCTACGAAACCACTTTGCAACAGAACTTTATTACAGTCAATTATAGAATACAGTAATTTCACATCTTACTCTATAAATTGTTCTAGTTAAAGACTATCAATAGAAGTTATGCAAAGAATTAAACAGCCAGAATAAAAACCATATTTCTTTTAAATAAAATTGAATTTTAATGTCTTGGCCAATGCTGAATATTGTTTTTAAGATTTATAATAATATATAATATCTATAATTTGTTATGCTATGAGCTTTACATAGAAACTAAACATTACTTAAGAAGTTGAGAACACTCAATAGGTTTTATAGTACTCCAAAAAGCTAAATGGCTCTTGATAGACCACCTTTCATTTAATATCTGTGTTCTTTACTCTAAAGGCAAGCTGAAGAACAGAAGCATTAAAGAAACTTAATTTTAGGGCAAACTTTAAACGTTTTTTAAAAAAGATTACTAAAAAGTTATTTTTTACTTACCTCTAAGAATGTTATTAATGAGGAAAAAATACATTTTTTCCTCATTATAATACATCTGGTTTCTACTTCCTCAACTACTATCTATCTATATAATAGAGGAATATGCAAATTAGCCTGGACGCCGTAATATCACGACTGGACAGCAGGGACCTGAGGCTTTATGGCACCTGGCCAGGGTGAGGGACCTCAGGCTGTGCCCCTTGCCCGGCAGGGCTTGACGGGGGACCTCAGGCCGCACCCCCACCCAGCACCAGGCCGGGAAACCTCAGGCAGTGGGGCTTATACAAAACCATATGTATAAATTGGTTTTACTTTCATCCTCACATTCTAATTTTATCTTCACAATAATCCTGCACTAAGTGTCAAGTATTGATACCCATTCTATATCTGAGGAAACACAAACAAAAAGCATAGGTCTAAGTGGGCTAACAGCTAACAACTAATAGAACTCCACCTCATAAACCCAGATACCCTGACCCTATTTACAGAATAGTATTCATATTATACACATACAGATCTTTCTTTATAATTGGTGAATTCTTAACTTTAATACTTACTTGTAGCATAAATTCCATACTGATCCTATTTTCAATCAATCTCATTACAAGGTGAGCTTTACACTGGAACATAGTGTAGTACTCCCAAGACAGCGTATGTGGATGCTTTATTGAAAAGTATAGATGGGATGCTGGACTAAACAAATAAACAGATTTACTTAACATAACAATTTTAAATATTTAGTAAACAGTACATTTCATGGCCACATCAAGACAATAAATATAAAACTTCTTGGGAATACCTTAGTATGAGAGCAACAAAGACTAGGATACATACACTCACAAAAAAATTTTAAGCCCGGCCTGTGTGGCTCATAGTTGAGTGTCCACCTATGATCCATGAGCTAAGGGTTTGATTCCTGGTCAGGGCACATGCCCGGGTTATGGGCTCAATCCCATGCAGGAGGCAGCCGATCAATGATTCTCTCTCATCATTGATGTTTCTGTCTCTCTTTCCTTCTTCCTTCCTCTCTGAAATCATTAAAAAATATTTTTAAAAATTCAAGATGAACTGCATATCTAAAACAAAAACAATTATAAAAGTACTAAAATAAGCCTAGCCGGTTTGGCTCAGTGGATAGAGCGTCGGCCTGCGAACTGAAGGGTCCCAGGTTTGATTCTGGTCAACGGCATGTACCTTTGTTGCGGGCACATCCCCAGTAGGAGATGTGCAGGAGGCAGCTGATCGATGTTTCTCTTTCATCGATGTTTCTAACTCTCTCTTCTCCTTTCCTCTCTGTAAAAAATCAATAAAATATATATTTAAAAAAATAAAAATTTTTTTAAAAAGTACTAAAATAAAATAAAGGAAAACATTTATTTCCATAATTTAGGGGTGGAAAAAATCATATATATATATTTACTGATTTCAGAGAGGAAGTGAGAAGTAGAAACATCAATGATGACAGAAAATTATTGATCAGCTGCCTCCTGCACACCCCACACGGGATCAAGCCTACAAACCAGTAAATGCCCTGACCAGGAATTGAACCGTGACCTCCTGGTTCACAGGTTGATGCTCAACCACTGAGCCACGCCAGCCGGGTGGGAAAAATCTTCCAAAAGAAAAATATAAAATCCAGAGGACAGTAAGACCAGATTGACTAAGTAAAAATTTAAGAGATCAGGAGTAAATTAAAAGAAAGGTACAGTCTAGTAGAATTATTGAATACCATTTTGTAAATGTCATATATACATAAATAAAGGCAAAAAAATAAAGGTTTCAAATATATTTGAAAGACAATATAGCAAATTTATAATCGTGGTTATATCTCCATGGAGATGCTTTGTAGGAGTGAGGGGTGATAAAAAAAAGGGGGGGCTAAAAAGGATCTTTATGTTTTACTCCACACACTTTTACACTGTCCTGTTTTATATTTCTTAAAAGAGAATGTATTCATGTGCTGCTTTTATATACAAATTTTTAAAATTAAACATACAACAAGAACTAAATAAATGGGCAAAACCAAGGTATTTTCACACAATGGGAATGCTCTAATAATATACTGGAAAACAGCCATATGGCAGGCAGCCAAGAGAAGAAAGTGAAAGAATTAATGAGTGAATGTGCACTATGTATGAAGATTTATCTCAAATAATTTCACAACCAACCTGGTTAAGATAGATTATGAATCATCACTGTCACTTTACACATTAAAACACACACACACACTTTCTCTGGAATAATATGCAAAATTTTCTTAGATCACCAACAATGATAAAAAAGAAAATCCAAGTTTGTCTTACTTCAAAATTTCTATGCTTTTCCACTGACTTAATCTTGTCTCAGTGACCATAACAAAAAAGGGCTCCTGGTTATACAATTTCAAGTTTCTTAACTTTTGTTGTGTTTTCAGGCACTTGGGCAGTTCGGTTAATTCTATGGGCCCCATATAAGAAACGAGTTCAAAATGCACAAAATAAAATTTACAGAATTATAAAGAAAACCAATTATAGTGAAATGATCAAAATATAAAAAAATTATGATATACCAATATGTGAGTGAGCTTATCAATGCATTAAATAATAAGATCTAGCAGTGGTCTACTCTAGTAATTTTGAGTTATAAGTGCAAAGAATATCTCAAATTAGCGGCTAACAATTATAATGTGACAGGAAAATATCTTGTAGGCAAAGTCAGCATTGTCTGTTGCCTACATTCATAATTAAAGAAAATGTAAAATTTCACTTTATGGATAGTGAAAATATTTTAAAATTCCCATCCAATTCAATTCAAATAATTATTAGTGTTTCCATTATTTTAAAACTTCTATGAAAACAGTATGCTATAGCCCTAACTGGTTTGGCTCCGTGGATAGAGCGTCGGCCTGCGGACTGAGGGGTCCCAGGTTCGATTCCGGTCAAGGGCATGTACCTTGGTTGTGGGCACGTCCTCAGTGGGGAGTGTGCAGGAGGCAGCTGAATTGATGTTTCTCTCTCATCAATGGTTCTAGCTCTCTATCCCTCTCCCTTTCTCTCTGTAAAAAATCAATAAAATATATTTTAAAACAAAAAGAAAACAGTATGCTATAGTAGCAGTAGAAAATTAACATGGAAAAAAAGAAAAGCATTACATTTTTAAGTCTGTTTTAAATGTTTAAATCCATTTGTAGCCATCATATGCAATAAAAATAGTAATGAAAATAGTAATGTGGTTACCAGGGTTTGTGGCCTCAATATTATTACCTGTTAATATTACCCTTTGGTCTGTGTGGGCCTAAACACCCATACAAATGATCCTCAAAAAGTGATCCCATAAAAGAAGTTTTATAATATCATATCTGAACAATAAACATACTTATCCTTCTCTTTTCCTCCACCAAATATGGGATGTAGTAAAACTCCACCAGTTTTCAGCTCATACGCCACGATTTTATCCAGCTCCTAAAAAAAAATATGAAAATCGGAGCCAGTGAAAATTTTTTTACGTATAAATTTAAAATTGAACTGTGATTTCTCATTTCCTAGAATTAGAATGTAAATTTCTTAAATAAATTAAATGAATTGGAAAAGTAATTTATGTTCTTATAAAAAAAGCAAATTATACCGCTGGCTAAAAGACAGCACCTAAAAGCCTTGTCTACTTTGTGACTTTAGAGCTGGCCAGTATCCTGGTAACTTTCCTAATGGCTCTTCCCAACCTTTCTAGCTGGTTTTCCAAGTTTACGTCTTCCTTCTCTGTATTTGGCTTTGATGGAGAATTTAGGAAAGTAAAAACAAATGGTGATAAAATGATGTCAGGAATCAACATTTTAAAACTCCTTGTCTTCTCCAATATGACATACATCAAAGTAAAAAAATAAAAGCTTAAGTGAAAAAAGGACAACATAACTGTGCTAGCAATTCATAACTAGTTAAATAATATACAAGCAGAATAGAGAAGTGGTAAAAATCATAATGAAGTGGTTAAAAGCCAGGTCTAAATCCTAGCTCTACTACTTACTAGCTGTGTAACTTTGGCCAAATAACTTAACCTCTCTGTGCCTCAGTTTCCTCATCTATAAAATGGGGATAATAACATAGTTAGGAAGATTAAGATGGTTAACATTTATAAAATGCTTATAACAGTGCCCAAAATATGGTAAGTGCTGCATGTCATTTCCCCTTCATTAGTTTCTGAAATGAAGAAAGGACTCTTCAGTTCTAGATGCAGGAATTATTCTATAGTTCTAAATGTCTGAAATCTTTTACAATTACCTTTTGGCTTACTTAAGTTCTAGTTGGGGTGATGAAAATAGATAAAATGAGAAAAGGGGGGAAGTGAAGGGCTCTATTTAATAAGGATATTAAAGGCTAATCTTCTTCCACCTTAGAAGAAATAAGCTAAGCATGATATGATTTAAATGTATATTTACATGAATGGGCTAGGCAAAATACTAGTACAGTTGATTTTTGTCTTTTGGGTCAAATCTTTAAATTATAGAAAAAAGACTAACAATGACAGGAGCATAAATGCACTGAAGGGCTAGCCAGCATATACTAAGCACTTACTACGTACAAGGCACCATGCATATTACATGTATGATGTCTCATATTCCCCATCCATGGGGTAGATACTAATACTACTCTCCTTATACAGATGAGGCTTGGAAAGATTAACCAAAGTAACAAAGCTTGTAAATGTATGAGGCCAACTGCAAAGCAATCTGACTCCAGAACCTGGACTCTAAGTCTAAACAAATTTAGGAAGCAGAGAGATACATTAAAAATGACTACTATGAGAATTTGGAATATATCTGATAACTAACTTGATGTTTAAGGAGCTTAAATATTCTCTTCCTTAGGAAAAAAAGTCTTTAGAGGCCAACACTGATAATGGAAATGGGATAAAATAGACCATTAGTCTTTCCCATTATAGTCATTCTCAGTTTACTGGAAGAAAATTAGAGACTTTTGAATGACAATAAGTATTTTACAATTATTTTTCTAAAAATGGAAATGTGGCCCTAACTGGTTTGGCTCATTGGATAGAGCGTAAGCCTGTGGACTCAGGGGCCCGAGGTTCGATTCCAGTCAGGGGCATATACCTTGGTTTTGGGCACATCCCCAGTGGGGGGTGTGCAGGAGGCAGCTGATCGATGTTTCTAACTCTCTATCCCTCTCCCTTCCTCTCTGTAAAAAATCAATAAAATATATTTAAAAAAAAAATAAAAATGGAAATGTGTCTGGCCAGTGTGGCTCAACGGTTGAGCACTGACCCATGCACCAGGAGGTCGCCAATTCCTGGTCAGAGCACATGCCTAGGTTGTGGGCTCGATCCCCAGCAGGGGATGTACAGGATGTTTCTCTCATCCATATTTCTTTATCCGTCTCCAACTCCCTTTCTTTTTCTCTAAAATCAATAAAAATAAAATAAAATAAAAAATAAAGGACATGCAACTTTGAAATCGGGAAAACATGTCTTACTGACTTCTAAGTGGATAATGGATCTAGGTATTTTTACCTCTTTAATCCAATGGCGGTATTCATTAACTCCAAAAGTTTTTTTCATCCAAAGTCCATAAATATAGCCTGAAATTCCCTTCAGTACCCATTCATCAGACCTAAGCAAAAAGTAAAAATATGAACTTTTAATCATAGAAATTCTTCAGATAAAACAGAAGATTACAGGTATAGTGTATACTTCTCTGCCTTCTTAAAGAAAATGAAAGTTATTAATAAATTATTTGGTTTTTTCCACTTCCAGCTGAGTTCTACTTGACCATTCCTTGTGCCTTTTCATATCTGGCTTCACCTTTAACTGCAGGACTGCTGCACAGTCTTAGTTCAAGTACAATGTGCCTATGTGTGTTCTCTGGCAGTGCTGCTTCCCTCTCACCCAACTCTGTCCACACAGTCAGCCTCTAAAATAACAGCCGCATTCAGTTATTAGCAACCCATGCATAATTATTGATGGGATTCCAAGACCTGAAGTTTAATTACTTGATTTTTTAGTTTCTCAAGAGGAAAGGCAATTGATATCATTCATTCATTCGTTCATTCAAACATTTGGTTTACCATGTTCCAGGCCCTATTCTTTAGTGAAACTATGTAATTTAAGAAAGTCAAGAGGCTTTACCCTCTGCCCTCTCTTCTCCAACAAGGGGGGAAAAATAATATTTATAGCACAGAATGGTCACTTATAAATTACAATCTTAAGGGAGTTTCCTGTGTTTATTCAAATGCATCTTAAATTAATCAAAAAGAAAATAAAAAGTGGTGTCTCTTACATCATTCAAATAAATTAGCACAGAGAAAGGCACCAGCAGGAAAATTCCTACATCATTATCACTATAGTAGACCATTATTTTGCCTTACGCATTATCTTGAACATTACCAATTGCACTGAGCACTGACATTAGAATTCTAACTATAGTTCGCTGTACATTCAAGTCCCTTTATCTACAGTATTCATTCAGTTTAAGAAATTGTTGCTATCAAAATTCTTGCCTTATTCTTATCGCAAATTGCAAAACTAATTATATTGAATTCATGGCCAAAAATTTAGGATGAAATTTACATTCATTCTTTTTCTTTAAATATATATACATACAGAATACTGTCTTTAAATTTAACTACTGCAGTTAGCACAAAGGTGAGTTTACATTGCAAGAAAAGAAAATAAAAACAAAGTTTCTCAATTCTTCTTTTCAGTATTGTAAACTTTGAAATTACTCACCAAGACATTCTAGATATGAAACATCCAAAAAACTGCTGGGCCAAGGACTGGGCTAAACACCTTCTAGTCAAAGGTGTCTCATCGATAATCATGGCACTGTGTAATAGATTTGTGCTGGAATTTTAAAAAGACAGCTATTTATAACCAGGAAAAAAACAATTATTGAGTCAAAATAAAATAATCCCACATCTAATCTAATAAAAGAGAAACATGCAAATTGACCACACCTCCGCTATGCCCCAAGACATGCCCACCAGCCAATCAGAGCAACTATATGCAAATTAACCCAACCAAGATGGCGGCCGGCAGCCACGGAGCTGGAGCAAGCAGGAGGCTTGGTTGTCCCGGAGATGGAGGAAGCCAAGCTTCCTGCCTGCCCTGGCTGGCTGTGGCCTCCGCTCAAGGCAACAAAATTTCAATTATATAAGATAAATAAATCCCAGATACCTGCTTCCAGCCAGACTCCACTGGGAACTTGGGTGGCTGGGGGCCATGGCCAGCCTGCACACAGCCATCAGCCCCTCACCCAGGATGGCCACACCCTCATGGGGTGAGGGTCCCCGCTGGGGGGCTTGGCCAGCCTGCAAACAGCCATCAGCCCCTCACCCAGGATGGCCACACTCTCATGGGGTGAGGGTCCCCGCTGGGGGGCTTGGCCAGCCTTAAAACAGCCATCAGCCCCTCACCCAGGCTGGCCAGGCACCCCAGCAGGGACCCCCACCCTGAAGGGGCTGTGGCCAGCCTGCAAACAGCCATCAGCCACTCACCCAGGCTGGCCAGGCACCCCAGCAGGACCCCCCTCCCTGAAGGGGGTGTGGCCAGCCTGAAAATGGCTCTCAGCCCCTTACCCAGGCTGGCCAGGCACCCCAGCGGGGACCCCCACCCTGATCTGGGACACCCTTCAGGGCAAACCAGCTGGGCCCCACCCATGCACCAGGCCTCTATCCTATATAGTAAAAGGGTAATATGCAAATTGACCCTAACAGCAGAACAACTGGGAATGACTGGTCACTATGACACACACTGACCACCAGGGGGCAGACGCTCAATGCGGGAGCTGGCCCCTGGTGGTCAGTGTGCTCCCACAGGGGGAGCTCTGCTCAGCCACAAGCCAGGCTGACAGCTGCCAGTACAGCAATGGTGGTGGGAGCCTCTCCCGCCTCCTCAGCAGCGCTAAGGATGTCCGCCTGCAGCTTAGACCTGCTCCCCGCTGGCAAGTGGACATCCCCTGAGGGCTCCCGGGCTGCCAGAGGGATGTCTGTTTGCCAGCTTAGGCCCAATCCCCCGGGGAGCGGGCCTAAGCCAGCAGGTGGTCATCCCCCAAGGGGTCCCAGACTGCGAGAGTGCACAGGCCGGGCTGAGGGACCCTCCCGAGTGCACAAATTTTTGTGTACCAGGCCTCTAGTTTAAAATAATAGAATTGAAGTTAGGCAAAAAAGAGAAAAATCAGAATATTCTCCCAAAGAGCTTTTCCATCTTTTCGAAATATAGCTGAAATCCATAATCTTGATATGTTTTGCTTAAAGCAAGGACTACAATGTTTCCCACTGAGTTCCATGAAAAGTATATATACCTTTTGCAGGGGTAAAGGGAAGGGAAGCATCATTATGTTAATAAAAAACTAATCCTCCTATGAAGGGCTCTTGTAATATTTTCTAAGTAATAACTATTAATTTTTTGTGCTCTATTATTTACTTTCATATACACTGACCCATAGGAACCTTCTAACAACCCTCTGGAAAATGCAAGGACAGTATTATTATCCCCTTTTTGTTTTTTATTTTATTTTTAATATTTTTGTTGATTTCAGAGGGAGAGAGAGGTAGAAACATCAATGATGAGAGAAAATCACTGATTGGCTGTTTCCTGCATGCCCCCCACTGGAGACTGAGCCTGCAACCCGGGCATGTGCCCTTGACCAGAATCGAAACTAGGACCCTTTAGTCCGCAAGCCAACACTCTATCTACTGAGCCAAACCAGCTAGGGCAGTGGTCGGCAAACTGTGGCTCGCGAGCCACATGCGGCTCTTTGGCCCCTTGAGTGTGGCCACGAAGTTTCAATCGCACTGTAATTGCGCACCCGCACACGGTATTTTGTGGAAGAGCCACACTCAAGGGGCCACAGTTTGCCGACCACTGAGATAGGGCAATCCCCTTTATAGAGATGAGAAAATTTAGGTCCAGATAGGGTAAAATGATTGACCTCGACACAAACTTCTAAATTTGAAACTTTTCAAAGAATGAAACAGAGAAGGGAGAGAGGTAAAGAGAATACAAAAGGAAAGAAAATGAAAATAAAGTTCTCTTTTCCTTTTTTCTTACAAAATAATTTCTGAAAATATAAATGAATTTTGAATAGTGCAAAGAAAAATCTCTCACTAGTTATTCACAAAATAACTTACATGATTTTTAACTGCATAAGCAGAAAAGACTTTTAAAAAATATATAAAATATTCCCTCTTCTGTAATAATTTCAAGATTATGTGCCTATAGAATAAAACAAAATATTTAAAGCCAGAAAAAAAATCTGCCATTTTCAAGAATTAAACATCTATAAGTGCACTGAGGTTAACTGAGAAATTTAGGACACTTTTATTTCCTTCTTTGCCTTTCCTTCATGTTAAATTTTTGTCAAATAATTATATATTTTATGATTTACTTTTTTCTCTTAAAGAATTACCTCTGACATTTGCATTTTGTTTCATAATCATGTTCCAAAAAATGATTTAGACATTAATTGTTCTTTTTTTTTTTGACATTAACTATTCTTTACTGGCTTAATTGTTTACCAATGGTAGTAAATAGGCATTAACTATTCTTTAATAGTTAATGGTTGTTCCTTTTGTACCCTTTCTTCCATTTTTGGTTTCTTCCTTTTGACTCAATTGACTGATGGACCTTTGGGGGCATTGTCTGTCAGGCCGATTATGTGAGTTCTTACATGTCTAGAAGGTCTTTCTCTTAACCCATCTATACTAATAAAAGGGTTATATGCTAATTAGACCAGACATCTTCCAGACGTCCTTCCGGACAGAGCCACAGTGGCAGGGCCAAGGCAGAGGTGGTTAGGGGTGACCAGGCTGACAGGGGAGGGCAGTTAGGGATAACCAGGCTGGCAGGGGAGGGCGGTTAGGGGCTACCAGACCAGCAGGGGAGGGCAGTTAGGGGCAACCAGGCCAGCAGGCAGAGGCGGTTAAGGGCAACCAGGCAGGCAGGGGAGCAGTTAGGGGCGATCAGGCCAACAGAGGAGCAGTTAGGGGCATCAGGTCAGGCAGGCAGTGGTTAGGGGCGATCAGGCAGGCAGGCAGGTGAGCGGTTAGGAGCCAGCGGTCCCGGATTGTGAGAGGGGTCCCAGATTAGAGAGGGTGCAGGCCGGGCTGAGGGACCACCCCCCCCCCATGCACGAATTTCGTGCACTGGGCCTCTAGTATATGAATAATATCATAACTATGTACAGAATTCTTTGTAATTATTGCTCCTAAAAATTCAATAGGCATTGCTTCATTGTAGAATTTAGTTACATAATAAAGTTTGGGAAAAGTCCACTTTTTTCTTTGTGTGTAACTTGTTTTCTTCCTATTTAGATACTGAAATGTTTTTCCTTTATCCTTGAAACTTGAGATTTCATAAAGATGTACAGTCCCTTTATATTCATTTTATCCCTTAAATCTGCTGGCTTGCAGTTTCCTTCATGTCAGAGAAATGTTCTTCTATTATTTCTTTGATTTTAGAAGTAGTAGATTACAGAAAATAGTTAAACAAAATCTTTAATTAGAATCTTTAAAAAAAATTTTTGTTCGGTTTTATTGAGATAGAACTGATATACAGCACTGTATAAGTTTAAAGTGTATAGCATAATGACTTGATTTACATAATTCCAAAATGATTATCACAATAACTTTAGTTAACATTTATTTCCTGGTAGATAGGGTTACAAGAAAAAAAAAGAGAGAAAAAAATGTTATTTTCCTTGTGATAAGAACTTTTAATATCTACTACCTTCACAACTTTCAAGTATACATCATATCCCTAATACTTACTTATCTTGTAACAGAAAGTTTATACCTTTTAACCACCTTTATCCAATGCCCCCACTTCCCACCCCACCGATAACCACAAATCTGATGTCTTTTTCCATAAGTTTTATTTTGTTATAGATTCCACATCTAAGGGAAATTATACAGCCTTTGTCTTTCTTTGGCTTAACTAGAAACTTTAAATGAGTATATAAAATGTTCATTAGTGGTTGGCTCATAATGGGCTCAGTAAATATATGTAGAGTAATGAATGAATGAATGAATGAATGTTTTTTGCTCCTTCTCTTTTTGTTCTCTTCATCTTCCCGTTATACAAATGTTGTATCACTTATATTCTCTGTCTCTTATGCTTTCCCTCATCTCTTTAGCCTTTTCCTCTGATATCTAATAGAAATTTTCAAACTAGTTTTCTAATATCATTTGGTTTTATGCTATTCATGGCTTATACTTTCTACATTTTTAATAGTGATTTTTCATATAAAAGGACTTTTTATAATTGAAATCTCACACATTCTTTTCTCATACATGCAATAAAAATTGTAGAAACTGCCCAGCTCCCAGCTCAGTGGTTGAGCATCGACCTATGAACCAGGAGTTCAGGGTTCGATTCCTGGTCAGGGCACATGCCCGGGTTGCGGGCTTGATCCCCAGTGTGGAGCGTGTAGGAGGCAGCCGATCAATGATTCTCTCTCATCATTGAGGTTTCTATCTCTCTATTCCTCTCCCTTCCTCTTTGAAATCAATAAATATATATTTTTGCCCTAGCCAGCTTGGCTCAGTGGATAGAGCGTCGACCTGAGGACTGAAGGGTCTCGGGTTTGATTCCGGTCAAGGGTATATGCCTGGGTTGCAAGCTCAATCCCCAGTAGGGGGAGTGCAGGAGGCAGCCAATCAATGATTCTCTCTCATCATTAATGTTTCTATCTCTCTCTCCCTCTCCCTTCCTCTCTGAAATCAATAAAAATATATTCAAAAATAAATAAATAAATAAATATTTTTAAAAATTGTAGAAACTAAAAAAATATATGTAAACATTATTATCAGTTAATTCTGGATGAAAACAGTATGAGTCTTTTCAGTTATTCTAAAAGTTTTCTTTATGCTTTTTTACGTTCTTTAATTTTAAAAACACTAGATTTTCTACAAAGCCAATCATGTTTAAAGAAAAAATACAAAACACATCTTAAAAATGATCATATAATAAATAACCATTTCAAATTTAAAGAAATACCAACCTAAAAATGCTCATAGAAGCATAAGCAGCCACTTCAACATAAGCCTCATCGATGAATACAGTCTTAAAGCAGGAGTATGGGTATCGACATGTAAGAATTTCTTCATAAAATTCAAAAACTTCATGAAGATATGATGTGGTATGTTTAAGCAATGGAAGAAGTTGGGGTAAACAAAAATGAGTAACCTGAAAATAAAAGCAAGAAATAATATCCTAAATAAGTTAATTTTATATTTAAATTTGCTAAATATCTCAATTATAGATAAACTAGAGGCCTGGTTCACGAATTCGTGCACAGAGTGGGGGGGGGGGGGGACTGTGGGAGGTTGGCCAGCTGGGGGGGAGGGACTGCGGGAGGTTGGCTGCTGGCCCCAAGGAGGGAGCTGGCCCTCAGCCCCCCTGGAAAAGGCGCCGCGTCTGCTGCCACCCACCCCTGCTTTCCTGTCCCAGCCCAGCCCGGGACCCCGACAGGTTGGGAGAGGAGACAATGGTTGCCAGACGTGGAAGGAACAGACACCAGATGCTGATGTCACCATCGGTACCCTGCCACCGTGTGGTTCCCTGCCTCCCCCCCTCCTTCTTCCCTTGCAACCACGCCACCGTGGCAAGCGGGCAGCCCCCAGGGAAGAGAGAGGACAGAGGATGGGAGCAAGACAAACCCTTGTGTTGAGGGCTGACTTTCAATAGATTGCAGTGAGGGAACTGCTCTGCTATGTATGAAACCCTGACCCAGAAGCACGTCTCTACGAATGGTTTAGCACCAGGGGCCGATGGGGGCTGGCCAGCCAGGGGGAGGTGCCGTGGGAGGTTGGCTGTGGGAGCGCACTAACCACCAGGGGGCAGCTGCTGTGCTGAGCGTCTGCCCCCTGGTGGTCAGTGCATGTCATAGCGACTGGTCGACCAGTCGTTTTGGTCATTCAGTCATAACAGTCGCTTAGGCTTTTATATACATAGATGTTCATACAGGTCCCTTTTTCTTTTTTACAAATTCATGGTACTGAAAGAAAACGCTTGTGTGAAATTAGAGATTACTTTTACTATATGTATAAAATATTTACTGTACTTAAAAATCAAATTCATGATGGATTATAAGTCTATAAAATGCTTAGAACCAATGAAAATAAAACTTTGTTTTTAAACTAAGTAAAAAATTCTCCTGCATACAAAACAAAAAAGATGTGCATTTCAAAGACTTACAGATCTACCAGTAATTCAGAAATACCTAACCCAGTGAACATTGGACATGTCATAGTATTATCTTAATAATTAATAGTCAATGTTAATCATACTATCTTTTTTTTTTTTAATATATATATTTTATTGATTTTTTACAGAGAGGAAGGGAGAGAGATAGAGAGTTAGAAACATCGATCAGCTGCCTCCTGCACATCTCCTACTGGGGATGTGCCCGCAACCCAGGTACATGCCCTTGACCGGAATCGAACCTGGGACCTTTCAGTCCGCAGGCCGACGCTCTATCCACTGAGCCAAACCGGTTTCGGCAATCATACTATCTTTACTGCACATAGAATGTCCTCCTTGACTATCTCAACTACATATTGAAAGCTGCAGGGAGCTTATTGCTTGCTAGGAAATAAGAAATGCCTGCAATAGAAATTCTGATTTCCTTATTAGGCTACATCACACCTTGGACATGGCACACAAATATCACATTCCATTTTGTCTCAATTTAAGATTCTGTGCCAAATGAATGGCATCAACAGTGACAGAGATCACCCTTGATAGAACGAGCTGGCAATGTTTCAGGCAGAAGACTGAATATAAGCTAATCTTTTTGAATTGGACAAAAGTCTGATAGGTAAGAAGAAGAAAAGAGGACATTCCAGATAGTGTCAGAAATAGGAAGAAATAGGGTATGATTAGGAAAATCTAAGTAAACTACCTATATTGAATATAACAAACACAAATAGGAACGTATTAGAAAAAAGCTAGAAAGGAATATTAAGGTCAAATTTTAGAAGATCTTGAAAGCCATGCTAATGAGTTCTGATTATTGCAGGAATGTGGAGCTAAGGAAAGTTTCAATGTGTGATAAAAATTATTCTTCTGATAGCATTATAAAAAAATAGAGTAGAGACTACCATAATAATGAGGGATGGATATCTATATATTATTAATGGACAGGGCCCAAATTGCATCCTGATCAACACTCCTATTGGTACACAAACAAAAAAAAATACTACTCACCAAAAAAAGAATTCACTTTCAGACAAATGTACATGATAGCAAATCTACTGATATTGAGGCAAAAATTAAAACTATTTGAGCGTCAACCCTTGAACCAGGAGGTCAGGGTTCGATTCCCAGTAGGGGGCATGCAGGAGGCAGCCGATCAATGATTCTCTCTCATCATTGATGTTTCTCTCTCCCTTTCCCTTCCTCTCTCTGAAATCAATAACTAACACACACACACACACACACACACACACACACACACACACACACACTATTTGAGATAAAAAGACTAAGACATGAGCTCTAAGTATTTGAGAAAAATACCGGACTGTCATTTTCCTTTCTCTCATCCAATGGCTCAGCGTGGGAAAAAATTCTTCCAAAATACAAAGTAGGTACCAATCAAATGTTGATTCTAAAGTTGATAATTTACCAACGATAATAAAATTCATTGCCAATCTAATCAGCAAATACGCTTTTAAGAGACATTGTCAAGACAGTTTTTAAAAGTAAAACTATTCCCAAAATATTTTGAATATTTTCCATGAGTGATTTCAAAAATGCTGTGAATTTCAGGAAAGCAAACAAGAGCAGAGAAAGGAGCTAACAGTCTAACTCTAATTGCCCTCATTTTTGCTCACATAACTCAAAGAAATGCTATTGAGATATACATGGTCACAGTATAAGCCTTATATTAAAAATAATTAATAACTAAAATTAAAAACATAAAGAACTAATAGATTTTGGATTTTGGTAAATAATAGATTCATTCAAATGTTACTTTAAAAGTGTACCATAGCCAGAGGATCAATAGCCAGTGAATTACTTTCTAACTACATGCAGTCTCATGCTTGGGGAGACGTAAAAGCACTATCTGGCCTCTCAATTGACAAATGATTTGTTACAAAATATGGGATGGGGGAAAACTGGAAGAAGCCTTCATGAGTCTGTTGAGCAGAATTCTAACCCTGTCTCAGCCTTTTCTCTTTTCCTCTGTATACTGAAGTGAGAACCAAATCTTGCTCTTTAATTTTGAATTGCAATTTTTCAGGTCCAGAGATGTTTATAACATTCATAAACATATGCCAAACAAAAAGATGACATTATTAATGCACACAATTAGTTACCAAAATTAGCCTATATACTCTAATCAATATATAATTGAAGCTCTTTTGAATGTGAAGACCTCTGTTGGAAAAAATCTGAAATTTTATTATGACAATATTTTGAAAGGAATTCACATCATTAAGTATATATCAGACAAGGAAACCTTTTCTCTAGAATGATATTCTTGACAGTTAAAAGAAGAGTTAAGAAAAACTTAGTATTTCATTAATATCCTTCTTTTTCTCAGGAGTGAAAGGGCAAAAGGGGAGAAAGGAGAAAGAAGCCATACCTCATGCATATATGGATCTACAAGTATTTCAAAAGGTCCAATGGCCAAGGCGATATTTGACGCAGCTGTTGGAATGGTAAGCATGTAATGGAAGGTCTTCTTCCTCATATCATGGGTATACACTGTCTCCACCAAATCGCCATTGGAAACAGCCACCATTGCAGCATCTACTGTAAATTCTAATTTCCATGTACATAATTCAGAGTATGAGTCAACACATGGGAACCAAAATCTAGAAAAAAGATCAACAGTATAAAAAATATGTTGAAAGTGTAACCTAAATTGCTTTACTCACGTATAAATTACTTTTACATTCATAGAATAACTACAATAAGAAACTTTAGCTATTTGAATACTGAAGTATTTTTTTACTGTGTAATGTGGAAGAATTTTATTAAAGACAGAAACTTGTCTCCAAATATTATCTGGAAATATTAAGTAAATGGATCTTGTGGTACCTTCAGTTTAAACCCTAATAAGAGGTAAGCAATTCTTAGTTTGCAATTTTAAAAATGAAAATAAATTTCGTTTGTATATTCATATAAGTTAATTCTGATGTAGCACTCATTTCCAAAAACTAAAAATACTGATAATAAATTTTTAAAAATACAATATTCAGAATCTATTTCATAAGTTAGAAAATCGCTTTTTTGGAGTATGTGATGCATTGTATAAATTCAAACAGTGCTGGTAAAGCCATACATAAATTTCTAGTTGACTTTCTATCAATTCAAGTCAGGTTTTATTATGTGCCAGGGTCTGTAAGTAGCACTGAAACACAAAGAAATATAAGATATCATCCCTGGTTTGGAGGAGTTAATAATCTCAGAAGAAAATGCATACCATAAAGTAGTATTTCAACAACATGTAGTGAACTACAGAACTACAATTACAATTACACACAATCAAACTAAATCTCACTATCATAGTGTTCAACAAAAAAAAGCCAGATATAAAGAGCATAATGCATATGCTTCCATGTTTATCAAGTTCAAAAACAGGTGTAATTCATCGTGGTATTTTAGAAATCAGAACAGTGATTACCCTTCGGCAGGAGAATATCAGGTAGGGAAGCAGTGAATGGAAATGGGTGGGAAAGAGATTCTGAGATGCTGGTAATGTTCTTTTTCTTGATGTGAGTGTGGATTACATAGGTTTGTTCACCTGGGCAAATTTATTGAACTTTTTATATACAACTTGTGTAATTTTGTTTACTTCAATATATAGTTAAAAAATAAAAGAACTGAGATGATTTTAGAACAATATACTTACAAATGAGAGAGAAGACATATTGAGGAGGAATGACTAATTGAACAAGAAAGAGGTAGAAGAGATTGGGGGAATCAAGCTGGTACTTCTCATTTTATACTAAATACATGTATTGTATTTACATTGAAAATGAAATTAACTAAAATATATAAGAATGAGTAATCTACCTTGTGGAATTCTGATACCCACAAGAGAAAACATGAGCACCTCTCTCTGCCATACTTCCCTCTACACTGGGTACCACAAAATGAAGACCTCCTTTTGGCTGATCCAAAGAAAAATTGATGTGTATCTTTAGGACCTTTAATTCTGCAACAAATAAATACACACATGCATTGATACATAAATATGTAAATTAGTGGTCTATGTAATAAGAGCAAACTTACACTGAACATAAAAAGGCTCATGAAAAACCACACTCCTTAACCAAGTTCAGGTTTCACCATCTCTCCACCTAGGTTAACTCCATAGCCTGCCTTCACAGGTGTCCTTGGCTCCACTCAATTCTAGTCACTGCTGTGTTCTTGGAAATGTAGCTTTGGCTATGCCATGTCCTCATGTCAACATTCCTGGAAATGCTACACTGCCTAAAGAAAAAAATTCACAACTCCATCGGACGCTTAAGTCCTCCTCTTCTAGATCCAATTGAAGACATACTTTTCAGGTTAAATATATGATGATGGAAGATTTGACTCTGGGTGCTGGGCATACAATGCAACAAACAGATGATAGAATTGTACACTTGAAACCTATGTAATTTTATTAACTAATGTCAGCCTAATGAATTTAATAAAAGTTAAAATACATAGAAACCCCCCGCAAAAATTTAAAAAAAAAAATACAAAAAGCAGGCAAAAAAAAAAAAGTTTGTTCTATTATTACATTTCCCCACAGATAGTTAACCATAGTTGACTGTGGGAGTAGATGAAGAAGTGAAGGGTAGGGTAGATGGGAAAGCTTACCCAAGAATTTACATTATGCATTATTTATTATGTGGGTTTTTTTTGTCCCACTTGATTTCTACAGAATGTGTTGCTTTCATATTAAGTTTAAAAGTTGTTTCTTTTAATTTCCCCAAAACATTATAACCATATGCACTATCCCCAATCTTTGAACATACAATGATGACTTTCCATGTCTGTACCCTAAATTAGGCAACTCTCCCCTCAAAATAATCCCCCACACACACAAAAACTAGCAATATGCAAAATCAAAACAAAATGTCTTTTACTTCCTTATCATGTTTAATTTTTATAAGGCCAAATAAAGGTAGGCAAAAAGTTATATATAATAATTATAATGGCTACAAATATATTCAAGAAAATAAAAATTTAGAAATAAAACTATGCTCAAAAGTATGCAGAGTGGGTGTTATAAACCTATGTTCTAGCCTTGACTCTACTATTAATTAATGACCTTCAGCAGGTCCCTTACTCTCTTTCAACTTCAGATGACTCTTCTGTAGAAGGAAGGAATGATGATTTTTTAGGATTCTTCCTGCTATAAAATGCTAAAATCCTAAACTGATTTGATATTGTGTGGAATCTCAAATCTCGACAAACTGTTCCAGTCATCTGATTTTTTTTTTATAACTTTCACTTTAAAAACAACAGTGAAATTAGTTGATTTCTGTCACACCCCTTCATTGCTATTTTCCTGTTAGCCTGTGATCCTTAAGGAAAAAAAAAGATTCCAACTTGTGATTATTTAAATTTATAATTTTGACGTTGTTTTCATGTCAAGGTTCTAGTCACTGAACCTAACATGATTGTATTGCAGTCAATATCGTCTTGGTATTTTACCATCAACGTGTTTCCATAACTCTGATGGAACCTTAATGCAAAGTTCTCCATTTCCTGCATCAGGATCCACAGCACTCACCGCAGCTGCATAAGCATTGGAAAAATAATTGAGATTTCTCCTGGGGGTAAAAAAAAAAAAAAAAGAAAGGAATTTTAACAATACGCCATATAGTTCACCAAGCATTTTCTTAAATATTTGATAGCATTTGTTTGTAAGCATTATATAGTCTTACATAATTCATAAGAACACTTTTTAGCCATGTAATTATTACTCTACTCACCAAGACAAAAACTACTGAACTACAAATGCAATGACACATATAGTCCACTCACCAATGCTATATGATTATGATTATCACATTATCCATAATTTTGGCATGCCAAAGCCAATGCACTTTCCTGATATAAATGTAGAGAATACCAGTATACGTAGAATTTAAGAAATAATTATTCTTTATCAATCTTGTAAAAATTTGAATAGATTAAACAGGCCTTATAATCTGATAGGTATTAAAGTGATTAAAACATATAAGGGAGCCCAGCTGGTTTGGGTCAGTGGATAGGGTGTTGGCCTGGGGACTGAAGGATCCTGGATTCAATTCTGGTCAAGGGCACAATATTTTTTTAAAAATCAAACCACCTGATGGTTTTGATACACAAAACATATGAGGATGGAAATCAACTCCTTAAAATGTAATACTGCTCCTCATCACTCCCCAGTGGATGACAATGTAAGCTTAATGAGTAAGGAGAACTCTGGGCTGGTTCACTGTTATATCCCCTATATGCCAGGGGTACTTGATAAATTTATTTGTCCAACAGTTACTTGATTTTACCTCCCATTGGATGAAAACAATACACAGAAGTCTTGTAGAAATATGAAAACATTGTTCTCATCTGATTTTCTAATTTTATTCCATAAAAAAAACTTACATGTACACATATTACATTTCCTCCCTGAAATCACTTAAAGGAATATGGAAGAAATGGAAAAAAGACAGACAATGAATGGCAAGAGCAAGAAAACAAGATGATAGAGCAACACCATGAGCCATATTCTCCCTGTCACCTTTATGTCTCTCACCTGCTATTAGATGAATGCACAAGGTAAAGTTAGTGACATTTTCACTAGTGTGGTAAATTTTTAATCTACAAAATGATTACAAGGAAAAGCCATTAAAGAAAACATTCAGTTATACATTCTTAACTTGACAGAGGCCATTCTTCCCCCATCTTCACTTCTCTGCTAACTAGGAAAGATGTAGTATTAACTATGCTTTTAAAAAGTACATAACTTAAAGCTCTGGAATTAAACAGACTGCTCAATAATTTTAATTTCTATTAGATAAATATATAAAATAAAAGGTGTAAAAACTCCAGGATCACAATAAAAACTCGGTTCTCACATACTACCCATTCTTAGAATTATCAGACAGTAAAAGTAACCTTCTTCTTTGGTATGCAACTCTATAAATGTTTTTTTAAAATATGTTTTTATTAATTTTAGAGAGAGAGAAAGGGAGAGAGAGAAACATTAATGCATCAACACTGATCGACTACCTCTTGCACCCCCGCAACCTGGGCATGTGCCCTGACCAGGAATCGAACTGTGGACCTCTTGATGCATAGGACTACGTTCAACCAACTGAGCTACACTCGCTGGGCTACAACTCTATAAATTTTAACACATGTGTAACTATCACCACAATCAGGATAGAGAACAGCTTCATCATTCCAAAAGGTCTCTTGTGCTATGCCTTGTGTAAAAAAAATGGAACAACAGCCCAGCCAGCGTGGCTCGGTGATTAAGGGTCGACCTATGAACCAGGTGGTCAGGGTTCGATTCCTGGTCAGGGCACATGCCCGGGTTGTGGGCTTGATCCCCAGTGTGGGGTATGCAGGAGGTAGCCGATCAATGATTCTCTCTTATCAGTGATGTTTCTCTCTCTCCCTCTCCCTTCCTCTCTGAAATCAATACAAATATTTATATATTTTTTAAGTCTTTTTTTTTTTAATGAAACAACAGAATATTTTTTTTTTTTAATGAAACAACAGAATGTAACCTCTTGAGGCTGGCTTGTCCCACTCATTATGTTTCTGAAATTCGAGAAAAGTGTTACATGTATCACCACTGTTGCTTTTTACATTGAATAGTATTCCACTGCATAGATTGTGCCACAGATCCTTTATTCATGTGGCAATCACAAATAAAGCTGTTATTAACAAATGAGTATCAGTTTCTTTGTGACTTTAATTTTCATTTCAGGAGTACAAATACCCAGGAGTGGGGCTCCAGAGTGATATGGTAAATATACGTTAAGTTTATAAGAATCTGCCGAACTGTGTTCCTCTGTGTTCCTATCAGCAGAATATGAAACTGCCAATTGCTCCTCATCTTTGCCAGCACTTACTTAATGTAACATCTAATTTTAAAGACTACTTAATACATCTATAGATTATAATTTATTTTCAATAAAATTTCAAAAATAAGAAATTTGAAAGACAGTTAAAGAACTTGTAATTTCCCCATTATCTGTGAAATGCAAAATTAAAAAATAATTGCTACACAAAATGTCAAATTTAAGCATCACATATTAGGCTGCTCAGTTTCTTTATGAGGAATTATTCTCTTAATGTCCTCATTTCTTCAGAAAAGGTAAAGTGATCCAAATAAAATGGTGAGTCATTAGAAATGAAATCTAATAGGAAGTCAGTTATAAGAAATACTTTTCTCATGGTTTGGATTTCAGTGTTTGCTTTCATAATAAGAATCAAATGCTTTCTTTCATAATAACCTCATAAAAGCCAAAAACTACAAGGCAAGATTATAATAAATGTTTTCAATTTTCAGAATAATGACTACAAAATATTAATGTGCTCTTGCCCTATAACCAGCCCACCCCACCCCACCAACTCCCAGTCCTCGTCAAGGAAATAAAGCTGAAAGATGAATAATGCTGTAGGGGATACTGAAAAACTGGAAAATTAAGGTGATGGAATCCTATATAATAAAGAGCTAATATGCTAATTAGATCAAACAGCAGAATGACCATCCAGACGACCTTCCGGATGATCTTCCGGACGAAGCCAGGGCTGTGAGGGCCCAGGCAGCAGGGGCTGCGAGAGTGGAGCCCCTTGCATGAATTTCGTGCATTAGGCCTCTAGTCTATTATAATCACTCACATTATATTAAAATAACCTGTTAATTCTTTGTCAAATAAAGAATGTGTGCTTCTTAAAACTATAGGTGCAGTCCTGGCCGGTTTGCTCAGAGGTTAGAGCATTGTCCCACAGACCAAAGAGTCTCAGGTTCAATTCCAGGTCAAGGGCATGTACCTGGGTTGCAGGCTCGATCCCCAGGCCTGGTTGGGGTTTGTGTGGGAGGCAACCAATCAATGTGTCTCTCTCACATCCATGTTTCTCTCTCTCTCTCTCTCTTTTTCTCTCTCTCCCTCTCTCTCTCTCTCCCACCCCTCCTTCTCTTTTACTCTCTCTAAAAACCAATGGAAAAAATATCCTCAGGTGAGGATTAATAACATAAACTATAGGTGCAGATTTTGCAATTATTTTTCTCTTTTTTTAAAATATTTCATGGAAGCACAATTTACATCAGAAAAGTACATATACTCTAAGTATATAGCTTGATGAACTTTCACAAAACCAAAGCCAGTATACAGAACAAAAACAGAACTTTGCCAGCCTCTAGAAGCAGTCTTGTGCCCTCTGATAATCACTAGCCAAGCCCCACTTCCCACCGCCAAGGAAAACTCATTATTATGACATCTAATGTGCTAGATTAACAGCTTAATATACATTCTCTTGAATCTGACTTCTTTTACTTGACGTTAAGTTTGAGAGATCCATCCATATTATTACATTTAGTTATTGGTCATTCGTTCTTATTACCGTTTGGAATTCCAATAGTGTGAGAATACACCAGAATCTACTATTCTACCATTGATGCATCTTTAAGTAATTTCCAGTGCTGACTATTATAAATGTTGCTGTGAACGTTGCTGTGTGAATTTGTTGGTGAACACATGAACATGCTTCTATTGGGTGTATACCTAGGAGTGAGACTGTCAATCATAGAGTATGCATATATTCAAACTCAATTTACTTTTCTACTAGCAGTGTTTGAGAGTTTTAATTACTCTACATCTGTGTCAACACTCCAATTTTTTCCTTGCCTTTAGTTTTGACAGTTTACATACAGGGTGGGGAAAATGCCAGCCAACAGAAATTGATTATTGAAACTTTGAAAAGTTGAGACTTTTCAAGCAAAATAAAAAAGGTCTTCTCAAAGTGGCAATGCCTATCTAGGAAAGGAAAAGAAACACAGATGAAGGAAAGAAGTCAGCTACTGTAGGCTATCTATCTACAGAAATAGGTTATCTGACACAAAGTCTACATTTATTTTATTCTAAGAAGAAATACAGAAAAAGCAGAAAAAAAAAGAAAGAAAGAAAAGAAAAAGAACACACCAAAGAGTCCTACCACCTATGGAGGCAAACTATAATCTATCTATAATACATAAGGTTCAAACACAAAATATATTTGAAGAAACTTCAAGTGTTGCAATTATTTTATTTTTCTAGCAGTCAATAAGCTGGGGGGGGGGGGGGGGGGGGGGAGAAAAAGAGAGAAAAGCCTTAAAGATGTTACATAAGCCATTGGGTTTTTAGTGCTAGTATGGGTAAGTTAACATTCAGTTGGTTAAATAGGCAGAAATGCCTTTTAGTCTCTATGTTTCCCTTTCTTACAATCCTCTTATAGTTCAAAGGAGCTGAATCTCAACCAAGGTAATTAAGCACATTCTTTCCATTAAAAATAGGAGGGCCTGGCATCTCAACTTTAAAACAAATAAGAAAATGTGACGAAGCAGTATATTACTTCTTTGAATGTTAGGACATTCTTGTATGTATTAAAGATCACATTTACCACCAATAATTTTAAATATAATTTTCAATTTCAAAACTGTCATACATTTTT